AAATATCTTCTTTTAAAAAAAGCCTAAGAGCTAGAGCTTAGATATTTGACATGAAACATTTTCTAGTGAGTGTCTACATAGTTTGTTCAAATAAAAGCCCTGGGGTCAAAATTGGCCCCGCCCCAGGGGGTCATTGATTTTCACTATATGCATATAGTAAAAACTTAAAAAATCTTCTTTTAAAGAACCCAAAGTGCTAGAGCTGAGATATTTAGCATGAAACATCTTCTAATGAGTGTCTACAAAGTTTGTTCAATTAAATGCCCTGGGGTCAAAATTGGCCCTGCCCCAGGGGGTCATTGATTTTCCCAATATGCATAAAGTAAAAAAATAAAAAATCTTCTTTAAAAGAACCCAAAGAGCTACAGCTAAGATATTTGGCATAACACATCTTCTAGTGAGTGTCTACCAAGTTTGTTCAAATAAAAGCCATGGGGTTAAAATTGGCCCCGCCCAAGGGGGTCATTGATTTTACCTATATGCATATGGTAAGAATTTAAAAATCTTCTTTTAAAGAACCCAAAGAGCTAGAGCTTAGATATTTAGCATGAAACATCTTCTAATGAATGTCTACCAAGTTTGTTCAAATAAAAGCCCAGGGGTCAAAATTGGTCCCTCCCCAGGGGGTCATTGATTTTCCCTATATGCATATGGTAAACCTTAAAAATCTTCTTTTAAAGAACCCAAAGAGCTAGACCTAAGATATTTAGCATGAAACATCTTCTAATAAATGTCTACCAAGTTTGTTCAAATAAAAGCCCAGGGGTCAAAATTGGTCCCGCCCCAGGGGGTCATTGATTTTCCCTATATGCATATGGTAAACCTTAAAAATATTCTTTAAAAGAACCCAAAGAGCTAGAGCTTAGATATTTAGCATGAAACATGTTCTAATGGGTGTCTACCAAGTTTGTTCAAATAAAAGCCCTGGGGTCAAAATTGGCCCCGCCCCGGGGGTCACTGATTTTCCTTATATGTGTATAGAAAAAACTTTAAAACCTTCTTTGAAAAAAACCCAAATAGCTAGAGTTTAGATATTAAGCATGAAACATCTTCTAGTGAGTGTCTACAAAAACTGTTCAAATAAAAGCCCTGTGGTCAAAATTGGCCCCGCTCCAGGGGGTCATTGATTTTCCTTATATGTGTATAGTAAAAACTTAAAAATCTTCTTTGAAAAAAACCCAAATAGCTAGAGTTTAGATATTAAGCATGAAACATGTTCTAGTAAGTGTCTACAAAGTTTGTTCAAATAAAAGCCCTGGGGTCAAAACTGGCCCCGCCCTAGGGGTGTCATTGTTTTTAACTAAATGTGTATAGTAAAAACTTAAAAAATCTTCTTTTAAAAAACACAATGAGCTAGAGCTTAGATGTTTAGCATGAAACAGCTTCTTATGGGTGTCAGCCACGTTTTTTCAAATAAAAGCCCTTGGGTTAAAATTGGCCCTGCCCGGGGGGGGGGGGGTCGATGGGCCTATATACAGGTGAGCGACCTCAGGGCCATCTTTTTTATTGATACAAGAAAAATATAATTGTATCAGCATATCATTAACTACTGAATTTGTTATATATAGTATAGGTTAAAATTTATTAGTACGTATTTACAAATTTAATTGGTGAGACGCGGCGTAGTCGAGCGACCAATTGCGTGCTTATAAATTTTAACGGGCTTAGTGTTTTAAACTATATTTATAAACAGTTGACTCACTAGACTGATTAACAGTTTGCCGATTTAACGAAGTAAATGTGTTACGATTCATTTGAAATACTGCAATCCTATTGGACAAAAGATAAATTCAAACACTCTAAGGTCTTTGATTTAAATCAGGTGACTACTATTCAAGAAAGTAAGAATTTATATTTTTAGAATCTGGTATTTACTTTGTTTAATGAGTAATAGAAAGAGCATCGACACCCGAGGCTATCTGATTTATACTCGGGGGCTACCCCCGAGTATAAATCAGATTGCCGAGTGTTTTGATGTTCTTTCTCTTTTGTATTATAGTCAAACATAAAACACGTTACCTGTTGTCACAATATGAAACCTCAGAAAAAAGTAATCAATAACCGAACATCTGAGTAATTGGACCCTATCTTAAGTAATTGGACCCTATCCTTGTTTGTACGTGACTGTTGGGTAAAAAAAATGTTTAGAAGAACATAGAGGTTACTTTGTTCAAATGTTGAGCTATGTATGGGTAAGAGTTTGTATCAAGACGACCGTAGGGAGTCTTATCAAACTCTTACCCATATTACTGCAAATCGGCTCTTACAACTTGATATCAGATAAAAATATAGAAAGTGTCACCTCCTTAAGTAAGCATAACATTGTTTTTCCCGAACACAGTCACGTACAAACAAGGATAGGGTCCAAGTACTTAATCTGGCAAGTAAAACAATGAGTTTTCAACAATACCTAGGATTGTTAATGCAATTCATTCCTGTCATAATTATGAAACAAAATAATGTTTTGCTTACTTTTTCTAGAAAATATAAACAGTCAGAAAGTAAAAACTGACATTTTTCTTAGAGTTAAAAGGATATCAAAAAGTGACTGTGTACTCATTTGTCTCTGCGAGGTGAACTCCACGTGTATTATCTATGAATTAAAAGAAATGTATCCTCACATTGCTACAGTGTTATCAGCCTTTTTAGAAACACCTGACCTGGCTAATTAAAATATGCCAATCACAATTTTCACTATCAGCACTGGTTTCTTCACGAAAAAAGCGGTTACACTAATTACTGCCGAGTTAGAGCCGATTTGCAGTTATATTTTGTAAAGGGATTTTCTGAGTTCATTTTCTGTTGTTAATAAGTTTTAAAGAATTGTCAATCAGAAGTTAGTGTATCAATTTTGAATACCATAAATTGTATAGTACAATATATATTTACTTTATGCAAGTACCATGTTCATGTTGCACAAAGTTGAACAAATAATGATACTTTTGAGTAAACATGTACCTTTATTTATTTTTTTGCTTTTTTACTAATATTTGTATTGCACAACAGTCTTAATGTGGGTCGCGCGCCAGTCTTCTTTTGCACACCACGAAAACAAAGGTATATAAGATTTGTTTGAGTTTATTGGAGTTGAAGAGATGTTGTTGAGTTGAGTTGTTGTAGTTTAAGTCATTATTTGCTTTTATGCTGTTGCTTGAATATAATTATGATGCATAATTTTAGTTTAATTGATTTTATTGCCTTGGTTTCATATTTATAGAGAACAAATTAATAGACATTTTCAGCGACAGATTTCTGTCAAGAAAAAAAAACAAAAACAAAAAAACATAGTTATTTCTTAACGATATCACCAAGTACTATAATATGACCGAGTGAATTGTGCACAGAGATTTTGCTGCTCCCTTAACTTTAGAACACCTAGTTTGAGCTTATCCAGAGATTGACGGAAATAGCCGAGATGTTGCTATTGTTTGCAGATGCAATTAACCAATCAGAAGGTCTTACTTTCCCGCCATATGAACTTCTCTTAAAAGAAGCAAACTTGTGTATTACAAATTATTTTGATGTGTTAATGACAATCATTTATCAAGGGGAATAACTTTATTTAAATATTACACTGTCTAGAAATAAACCATTTCGTTTTCTTCTTTCTGTTTGAATTTCTGTTTGTATCTATATTTAATTAGTTTTGTTATATTTCGTTCTCGCATAGCCCATATTCCTTTTATTTAAATCAATACATACATTTCTATCCGTTTTAATTTTGCATAATTAAACTAGGGTTGTTTATGTGTGTGTGTTGGGTTTATTTACCTTCGCCGCCGGTATAAAACTACATGGGCGAGCATATGCTGCATTTATTATTGGGAAAACTACACTTATTAATTATCTGCATATGTGGCTAAGGGGTTGTTTATTCTTAATTTATGGTATAACGGATTTATATGGGGACGAGTAATGGTAATTTTTTCATTCATAAGCGTAGTAAATTGACTGACCACGTAATCAAACTATAATGTTAAATAATCCACCTATGCGCGGGGGTGGGAGTTTGGACTCGTCCCTTTTTACGTAATTGACTAATCGAGCACATTTGGTCCTGAAGTGTTTAGTTGATGTATGTGATTGTTCCTATGTACTTTTGAGGACTCATTCAACAGTAAATCATGTGTTTAATTAAAAATCATATAATATTCGGCTTCGGTTGTTGGCTCACGGCTGCAAGCCATTCATTTGGAAAACCTGTTCCGGTTAGGTGGTTTTCTGCTTACATTTATAAGTGCATGATTGAACGGGAAACCAGCTGAAATCGTGCCAATCGCAACTTTTCGGCCTTTTCCGTCACTCTTCGGATTAATGATAATAGCCGATGTACTTCCGATTGCAATCGTGACAATTCGGGCGATTCCGTCATACTGCGGAATCAGACGAAGTAATATTACGGAAATCTAAGCTATTTTAGTTACTTCGGTAATCCCAGTTTGTTTATATAAATAGGATTCGTATTTTTACTTGATTTATTGATTTAAACCGTAATAAATTATAAACGAAATTGTTCCGTTTCAATAGTTTTTCAAGACGCAAAAGTTAGTTTCTTTTATAATTGTTTTTTGTCTGTATTAGTTTTACACAATAGAGGATGTTGACTGTAGTAGTATTCCGTCTTCAAAGGGTGGTCCAAATCACACAGTGCATGATCGAGTTATATTTAGATCTACTGAACTTGGTGAGGTAATCTAAAAATAGCCCATGCATATCATTAACCTTACCACGTGATGATTTATAGATAGCGCATCGTATCTGGGAACATGCTTATTAATTAAATGAAATGTGCACACTTGTTTCCTTTCAGTATGATAGATCTTCACGTTAGTATTTTTACGATTGATTATTTTCTTTATTAGTTTTATACAATAGAGAATAGATTTCAAATCGTTTTGACAAAAATATTCGTTTTTACAAAAATAAAAACAAATAAATATGTTGGGATGAAGGCACAACTGTGCAAGCCTTTCCTTTTAAAAGGAAACTTTATTTAATAATTCACGATATACTGTTTTCTGTCGTCTGCTACTACTTACATTGTTACCCCATTCGGAATGCTTTGGACTTCTAGGCGAAGTTCATTATCGTCACGTCGACAAGGAAGAATAAATAGAAAATCAACGGGCAGGTAGTTTGAAAATATTTCACGCTGTAATAAACTAGTGATCGATGATATGTTTACAGTAAATGGATTAGGGTTTTATGTTATTCAATGGCAGGATTAAAGAAGGTTGTATGCAACTTTCTGTTTTGAATTAATTAATTCAAGAATAAGATAGGTTAACAGATTTTCAACGATGAACTAATAGGTTCTTTTGCTGCATACGTTTTGAAAAGAAACATTTAAGTTTTGATATATTTTGAAAGTTAATGTTAAATGGATATCCGTAGGGACTGTGGTTTAACATTTAAAAATCAGTACATGTGTAAATGGATTACTTTAAGTATTCATGTGAACATGGCTATTATTTATATTAAACAAATATAGTGCAATAATACTTACACCAGGAGTGCTCTTTTTATTTTTGGCACTTATTGAATGAACATCAAAATTATCGCACTTCTAAAGAACAAAGAAATATTCTTTTGTAATGGTTAATTACTTCGGCACCTGAAAAGAACCTCTGATCTCCTCCATAACTGGAAGGTTGCCAGATATCTATCTATGCCGTGTAATTTAAAACCAATCAAAACAACAAACAAAACTTATTATTTTGTAATAAGAGCACGACCGAGCTGTAATTTTGCTATATATTCAATTTAAGAAACAAACATTAAGCATATACAAATTAACAATTTCTAAGATATTTACATATAATTAAGAGAATTGGTCTGAGTTGATAAATAGATAGAGAGTAATGCTTCATAGAATCAATGTACAAACTATGTTTTCTCTATTGCGGATCAAGTCAAGAAGGATGGAGCTCGTCAGCAGTTCTTGTGATAACTGTCACGTAGTTCGTCGGAAAACTTTTGTATATACTGCAAAAGCACTCGTCAAAAATGATAATTTTCATCTTTAAAAAATGAATTTTAGGTGCTAAATTTAACTTTAATGATAAAGCTTGTCTTACATTTTGTATTATAAGTCAAAAACTAATTCATAGGCTATTATTTATCGCCTCTTGCTAAAACTCTAGTAGTTTTGAGTAAAATTTCCAAATAATTTGCTACGTATTCGCATGTATTGACCTGTTCATTTTTGTCGTCATCCTTGTCATACATAATTGCCTATTTATAAGGCAAACTTGCAAACATAAGGATTTTTCAAATGTCATGGATTTCTTGTGATAACTCCAAAGATGTCATAGAGTTCTTTTGATAATTTTTGTTCCTGCCAGTGTGTTTATTGCGTTAAATCACGGCACGTTTTAAATTATTCAGTAAGTTGTTAATCATTATGACATGTAATACGCTTATCATTTGAACAAAAATGAGGATATATAATGTTGGTTTTGAGTGTATTTTAGTTCAAGAGATATTATTTCTTACCCCAGTTTCTTGTGCAATGTTTCATCTTATAGTGTTTTTGCTGACGCAGATTTCAAAGATTTGAAAACGGATTGATGTAGAGCATATTCGTAAATGAAAATTGTATAAATGATATTTAGTACTTTAAAAGAGTGTTTGTCAAAAAAGTTATAGGACAAATATATATTCTAAATGGAATATTCTTTTTATGATGTTTTGTGTTTGTGTTTCTATATATTGTTAAGAAGGCCACATTTAAAATTAAGATGTTAATTGTTTTCTACGATGGCATATCTAATGTGTTACCTTCTATAAATAAAAATATTATTATTATTATCATCATCATTATTATTATTATTATCATAATTATTATTATTCCTGGCATTTTAAGAGAACATTAAGTAACCATCACATCGGTCTCCAGTAGCTAAACAAATTACATATAAATAATTTGCAGCTTAAAAGATGTAGTATGCACTACTTATATCTAAATTTAATGAGGTTAAGTCATCTTCACGTTATCTAGGTATGTAAAATTTCTAAAAGGTATCAACTTTTTGCCATAGAGACGTAGAAAATTCTATGACAATGATATGAAAATACAAAGTAAGTATTTAATTAAAGATGCGAGTCACCTTAGGATTAATGCCGATGATCGATCTTTTTTCTTTCTTTGTTATATCCACTTTAGCACCACGTGCTTCCGAAGGATAACTTTGTTTCCAGATATGTTTGCAGGACTCTCCATAGTGTGGAAGAGTTTTGCTTATCAAAGTTGAGTTACACACAAAATTAGAATCACTCTACTGCAAACTGAGTGCGCATGATTTGCTTTAAAATACTTACCCAGATGTACAAAAGTAATACCATGTACGTTGTCATTTGTACCATTAAAACGTAAAATTTTCTGTCGATATTTGATGGGCATTTCCCTTATGTAATCTAAGTGGATGAACCTCTGCTTTTTTCTCGTAACAAAAATATATAGTCAAACTTAGATCGCTCGAACCGGAGGAGCGTGCAAATTTGTTCGGGAGATCGGTAGTTAGAGGCAACCGCAGTTGCATTTCTATCTTGCATCGTACTTTTTTGGAGACATAGGTGTTGAGATTATCCTGATTTAATACTTGTTCATTACGGTGTAAAATGATTTAAATTAAATAGCCCTTAGATAAGGGAAGCACAACTATATATGTCTGCTTTGAAAAGGTGTTGCTTCAAACAAGTGTATATTTAATCCTTTCCATTACAGCATAGACCTTTTGTTGTATTATGATTCCCTTTCATTGACATTGTTACATGCGTGCTATGTGGGAGAATGAAGTCGAACATTTCATTGCTTTCTTGGTATTAAAACAAAAATATATTGTCCTTTTTTCGTGCAGTCCAGCGCTTTGTTTATTTAGACAGCTCTTGTTTAAAACTGCGATAACCTGGGATGTTGAATCATTTGCTCTCCTAACAAGTATTTAAAGGTAAAACAAAAACTATGAGGAGTTATATTGCTAAATCATTGCAGGAAATAAAGTTCAAATACAGACTGGTATTTTCTTACATATTTACAGGTGTATATAGCTGTACAGATTGAAAGATGAGCTGTTCCGATTGTGGATATAAGAGTCATGGTAGATTCTGTGAGGAGTGTGGAGGCATGGTGGTCGAGGAGAAAATGGTCTCACTAGTAATTTGTAGTGGAAAGTTAGATGATAATTCTGCATGTGGAGCAGAACTGGTTCCAAATTATCAATTTTGCAAGTTTTGTGGAAATAAAGTTGATGAGTCACTTTTCTATAATCTACAACATACATGCCCTAACTGTCTTGAGGCTGTAGAGCAGGGTGTTAAATTCTGTATGGAATGCGGATATTACTTGAAAAAACAAACCAAAACAGGTATTTACGAAAATTTATATTTTTGTCATTTTTTTGAAAAATGACATTGTTTTAATCGTTGTTGGTATAATGTATCTTCTTGACATTGCATTCTTTCCAAAACTTTTAAAAATAATTTCATCATGAAGTCTCTCTTCTGATATCAGAGGATTGACCTTCCTCAGGTCAAGATAAAGGTTCCACTTAGTCTTAGTCATTTTGTATCAACATTGAAACTGATTATAGTAAATTAAATATATTTTGCAAAAATATTTATATTACTGACATGATCTGCAGAGCGCAGTTTTGGACTAACTCAGGTCAAGGTTAAGGTCACACTGACTCATTCAAAATCCTTATACATGTATTACAAACTTAAGGGAGATTACAGTGTATGAATTTAATAATATGTTTCGTCCCAATGTAGATGTTACCTCCCTTTCACAAAATCTATTACTTTATAATGTGGTTTTTGATTTATCAAACTTTATTGTATTGGATTTTTTTCTTTGTCTGAGAGACAAAAATTGAGGAGCTATGTTATAATTGTGATATAAATGTTTGGAAATAAGACAATCTTATTTATTGAAACTGACGTTACTTTAAATATGTAAATTCACTAAATAACATTACGTTGTAAATGATGCATCTTAAATTTCAATTTTTTAAAGTAATTAATCAAAACTTTGGACATAAATTATGTATGGAGTACCGTACCGGCATTTGTTAGCTACCTCTGTGGACTGAAAGACTGATAAGGGAGGTAATATAAACACATTTTGACTGCTGACATGTCTGGAGTCTCTACTCAACATAGGAAGCTGTGGCATATATAACTGTCACTAAGTATTCATGTGACAAGAGCATAGCTCTTTGGCATGTATCAATATAGATCTTAATATTGATAATTAAGATAAAACTTGTAGCGGACAAATGTTATAAATGGGTATCCTCTCTGTTTAGAATTATTTTTGATTACTTAAAATTTTGTTTCTTAAAAACAAATTTGCGTTCGGGCGTATATTGCCACGCCTTTGTGGTGCTCTTGTTAACTCTTCTTTTAATATTTTCCTGCTAAGAGAACCTAATTAAGCAAGGCGATCGGTAAAACCGGCATATAACCCCAGAGCAGGAGCCAAAGGGACATATGCAAGGCAATAATTGCAAATGTCCCTTGGGCTCCTGTTTCTGGGACAAAGTCATAAAGTTGACACATTTTATTTTAATTTCATAAACAAATAAAGATGTAGAATGAAAGTTAATCGATTGTATCCTTTACAACTGCTTGCAGTTTAAACAAATTATCTCAAAGGACTTCCAGGTTATGCTCCGGATAAAATTTATAAATGGGCAGATAGTTAAAAAAATGGGCAAAAAGAATTATGGTTCTTTGGCACTGCACTCCGCCTTAATGTCCTCTACCACTGTATGGAGTTTAAACAACTTATGTCCAAAGGGTTTTCAGGTTATGCTCCGGACAAGAGTTTTCTAAAAGTTGAGATAGTTAAAAAACGGGCCAAAATAGAGTTATAGATCTTTGGCACTGCACACTGCCTAAATGCCCTCTACCACTGTGTGCAGTTCAAACAAAAAAGGTGAAAGGTTTCAAGTTATGTTCCGGACAAACAACGGACGAGCAAGGCGGCGACAATATGCTCTCCCTTCTGGAAGCATAAAAAGCCGTTAAATTTACCAAATTTGGGGACTGTTTACAAAATTTGCTTAATTTTTAAGAAGTAAATTTGTTGATCTCGTCAAATTTTAAGTAATTTTACCGTATAGTTTGAAATTTTTAAGACTCGGAATATATCAGGTTTCAACTTACAGAAGGTATATGAGTTTATTATACCCGCCGACGGTTGTCCATATTGGTGAATCCTTCAGAGGAGTATTAGGCATTCGATTTTGGTAGATTGTGTACGATACAGATACAGAAAGATGCCCAACTCAAGAAGAAGCTTCTGCTATTTCTATAAGTGTTTAAGAACTAACGGGACCTTGATTTGAAGTCTAATTCGAAACACTGTTCTAGTAATTGTAGTTGACCAGCCCGAGAATCTAACCCACTTTGTCAAGATTACAAGTCTCGCACTCTAACCGATTGAGCTATGCAGGCTGCCATGCAGTGGACAGTATTTGTAGCCTACATGTATTTAAATACCATTCAAAGCGGAGGTAATGCATTAGGATAGTCATACCTTAAATGAATATTATTTTTGGTTCTATTAACTTTTTACTGAACTACTTAATTTGGTCACGAGGAAAGATCAATTTCGTCATTTGCCTGGTAAAGTACTAGCTATCTTTCTAGTAACCAAAATACATAGTATTCAAAATGTAACAATTGATAATTTTGATCTGCTTTTATCATTCTACTAGCTTGATTATATCGTCAAGTGTGAAAGTATGATACTGAGTTTTTCAAAGAATCAGTCTTGACTTTCTGTAAGATTTACAGGTAAGAAGTAAATATAAGAATACTATTCATTGGTCATTTTAAAATTACAATATAAAATCTGAAATCTCATTGGCCATTCTAAAATAAATGTAAAGGATAGTTCTTGCCAATGAATATGAAATACAATGTAAAGGATAGTTCTAAAATAATATGTTTAAAGGGTAGTTATTTAATTTTCTAGTTAAATTCTTGAGATATTCAGGTTCTGTTTAGACAAACTTCCTCCAAGAAGACATTTTACACTGCGTGAGATCTCATAACATTTTCTAGTGAACAGTTCATTTTTACCCAAGTTATTTATTATAAATTTTGTCCAAAATAACGAGACCACCAATAATGTTCATGATCCTGTATGTTTTCTCATGCACATGTAAATATCGGAAAACACACCTTTCAGGTACCCTCAGTTTATGTTGTTTTAAAAAAAGTCCAGTAAATTATATGTTCATTGATGTGTTAAATTGGTATAATGTTATAATCTGCATGTATATTTTTAAATATTTATCAAGCATTTATAAATATAATTGACTACCGACTGCGTAGATGTTGGTTATCTTACTGAAACGAAACACTACAAATTCATTTAGGAGCACAAACATCTTCATTTTCAAGGTAAAAAACCCATTGTTTATTCTGTCAAATAAATAAATAAGTATCGAAAATGTAGAAGTAGCATATACAAGTTAGCCAGGTTTACTTCGGTCGAGTATCCTTTCTTGTTTCGAATTAAGTTTAGAATAAATCTTTATGTAAAGTTTATTAAAGTCTCACCAATGTACATATTCATGCAATACAAATAGACGTACGTAAAAACATTCTCATAATTCAAAATCAATAATTATGTTTTATAAAGTACTATAGAATGACATAGAACAAAACCAAAACCACAGTGTTCGAACAATCACTCTCTGCATGTTCTTCAAATTACAGCCATCATAGTTTTATCAGTAACATTGGAATTGATTGAATTGCAAATAACGGATTTCTTATCATTTAAAAAAAAACATTTAGTCAAAACTTGAAGTTTAGCTGAAGTCTAGTTTAAGCGTTAACACAGTCAACAGAGTATTTTTATCTAATTTCTTCAATCATACGTTTACCTGTAGTATGAATGAACAGTGTCGATATCTTTATATACCTTTATATTTAGATACCTAAGTTCTAAAAGCAACTCAACAAACGTCATATTAGTCATGTTAGTTATTAAATGTTTTTTCTACAATTTCAACAAATTTCAGTAAATAAAACAATGGCATCTCTTGTTGGAGATGACATTGTACAATATTCAGACGAATGTCAAGAAATGCACTGCGAACAATGCTACGAATTCGGTGAAACGGCAGATGCACAAGGATTTTGTAATGAGTGTTTGGAGTATATGTGCCAATCATGCGTAAAATATCACAAACGACAAAATCCACAACACAACATGCTCGACAGGGTGGCGATGCCACAAGAGTTTTGTTTTGAGCAATGCCCCATTCATCAAAAGCACATCAGGTTTTACTGCCCCAAATGTGAACTGTTTGCCTGCTCGGATTGCAGGAAAACAAATCATACAACATGCGATAACTTCAACCATATTTCAACCATGGCTACTAGAATAGAAGAAAGTAACGAACTGAAAGCAGTTCTTAAAGATATAGACCTTATTTCTAATGCGGTGAAAAAGGTTCAAAATACACTTGAGGATGGCGTCAAAGATGTCGAAACGAAAGAAAAACAAGCTCAAAAATCCATTGAGCAATCAAGTCAAAGTAGGAGGTTACATTTTGAAGAAGAACAACAAAAATGTACTGCAACATTTGATAAGTACCTTAAAGACATATCATCACTTATAGAAGAAGAAAAGCAAAGGACTGTTACTCGTTTGCGAAAGGAGCAGAATGACCTTGATATGAAACTGTCTTGCACAGAAAATATAAAACTTGAGGAATTAAGAATATCTTCCGAAGAAAATGTTAGTGAACATCGATCTTTATTGGCAAAAAATGCATCACTTTTGGATAAAGTAAAGGACAATGCGAGCGATTTATACCAGAAAATGGAAATAAATCAAAGATGCAAACTTTTAATTGCAATGAAGAAAATATCGTCTGAAATGAAGATACTTAATCAAGAATTGCTTATGCTGACAAGCCAAACTGCAGCCTTGAAGAAAAGCACTCTACCAGACCGAATAATTACTGATGCTAGATCTTACCAAGTAAGACCATTTCAACTTATACTTTGTTTTCTATCTTCATTTCGCCATTTATTTTTCTATTTAATCCATAGGTCACATGTTTTCATTTTAAAGTCATATAAAAATGACATTTTTGAGTTTTAGAATTAAATATGATAACATTGAAATGCTACTAGAAAAAATAATTTAATTTTACCAAAACCATCAACTACAGATTCGTGCTTATTTTACCACATACAGTTCAAATAATTACATGTTCAATAATTATATAGTTTTGTTAACTCTTAATGGCCTTATTTTAATAAAACATTCAGTTCAAAACTGATGTAATGAAAAAAAAAAAGATGTATTTGCTTTATAACCCCAGACCCCTTTTCTAGATTCCATTTTATGGAGTTCCGCCCATTGTTTTTTTCGTGAAGGGTTAGGGCACACGCATTCTTTTACTTGGGGACCATACGCAGCTTTTGCAGAAGCGGGTCCATCACAACGGAGGTGTAGTATTCGTCGCAAAAGCATTGGACAAAAAGTGGCCGTTTGCTGTTGTCGATAATTTTATGACTGATTTTCTACTTTTGTTTTGATGTTTGGAAACACCTAGTGAGACTGGAGCCGACATATGTACTCTTTCAACCTTTACACGCACACGGTGCAATTTATTGCTATTTTTGTAAACACTACTGTACAGAAACTGTTGTCAAGGACTGCCAAAATTGTGGTGAAAACAAATACAAGATAAATGTGTGCAAAACTACCTCTACTACACCAGCATCACATCGCATGTATGATACTTGCACAAAATAACCATAGTTTTTAATTTTTGTAAATTGTTATTGCCATGTTATAAAAAATTGACAAAATATGATCACAACGCAGAAGGCGGTGGATTCGATTGTAATACAGTGCGGTCGGCCCGATATCATTAATGGGTTTAACTTGACATAACGCACTTTTCAATTGAGTACAACCCTTTTCTTAGTTTGACATCGGTGAAACGTGTTTAATTGGTGTTTATTTTTTTATATAAACATGTAAAAACAGTTTCCAAAAGTTCCAAAATATGGTTGATGTGTACAAGTATCATTCATACGATGCGATGCCGTGTACTTGGGGGTCTTTGTGCACACATTTGTACGTGTTTTAACCAAAATTTGACATAAGTGGCGTCCCCTTGTCAAACTGTACAGATGTGTTTGCATTAATGGCAATGAACTGCACCGTATGCGTTTTTTAATTGGGAAAAGTACATATGTGAGCTCACGTCTCATTAGGTTTAACCTCAAAATATAAAGTAAAATTCAGTCACAAACTTTCCGACAAGAGAAAACGGCATTTTTTATCCACCGCTTCTGCAACGAACACTCCACCGCCGCTGCGATTGATCCACCGCTTCTGCGAAAGCTATGGTTTTTGTGGGATTTCTTTAGCGATTCTGCTTGTCTGTATTTGAAAAAAATATTGATAGGCTTCACACTTTCAAATCACGTTACAGGAAATATTTCTTTTGCAGATTTTTTTTATCATATTCAGCTTTAAATTTTCTATTGTAGGCCTCAGTAATGTCACAATCGACAACATATGATGGTAATAAAAGTACTGAACATCCTTCAGAAGTAACCAGGTACGATTCTATAAATTTAGATATTTATAAATATTCAATTAATGGTTTGATGCAAATGTCCAAGCACTATTCTGGTACGTATTAGGCCTGGAATTAAAGCATACTGTAGCGATCAGACACCATCATCTTGCGTCCGAAAATGAACCTCGTATCCGAAAATTAATCAAGCACCAACGATTTCGATTGATTTTTATGACATCAATTTTTAATGGTCTACTCATACATTGTAAATGCCTAATGTGATATTTGTGTAACACATGGTGTAATAACGTTGGTAAAATAATCTTAAACACCTGTCACACTAGGGTGGCGTTCTCACGGTGTCCAAAGAAAATTCAGAACGCCGCGATGAGCGAAGTAAGATCGCAACATCGCCTCAGCATCGTAGTGGTATCGCAAAGAACGCAAACTGACGGCGCGCATTTTGAGCATGCTCAATACAAACACCGTCACTCGGCATTCTGACAAAAGCGCAGTGGGATCGCAGTAAGGACGCCGTAGCAGCTCAGTAGCATCTCCTATATCGCAACATGAGCGCAGTGAAAGCGTAATAGGAACATCGGATGAACGCGATGGTTATCATCCACGGCGCTTGTATGGAGTTTGTGCGAGGTCTCTAGCTTTGACGAAGCTTTTCGATTTCAACGCAGTGTGAGCATTGCGAGAGCGCCGCGTGAGCGTCGTAAAAGCGCAGTGGAAGCGCAAAGAACGCAGTAGAAGCGCATTCCGAACGCAAACAATCGCCACTTTAAATCTGTCGAGACTCCGAAGCATCGCTATGATCGCCGTGAGGACGCCGTGAAGTCCCCATGTCATCAAATATGTCGCATTTTTTAAATTTAACAAAGCCGTGCAAACGCACTGAAAGCGCAATTTAGTGTGACATGTATGTTATGTTTACAAGTATTCACATTACACTATATTCCAAATGTTAATAATTAATTGCCATTTTAATTCTCCGGTATTTTATCCATTATGAACTGTCAAACCCTAATTTCCACATGCATGAATGCTCCAGTATTTTTTCCGGTATATATTTTCACTTAATTCCAAAGAACTTTCATAAGTTCCTTCATACCAGTATGATTTATCGAATTTTAACTTAATTCTCATATTTCCACCAGTATGATTTTTTAAAATGTTCACTTCAGTGTTGTCATATTTTTCTGATCCTTCGGAATCATTCCAGCACTTTTAAGTGTTAAAAATTGAGTACAGCTCAAGCAGACGTGAGGGATGTTGCACTTTTTTATTATACCTCATGTACAGACTCAATCAAACCGAGCCTGCAATTTTCATGTAATTTTGTTGTAGTTCTTCTAGATTTTAATTCTACCCGTACATGAATTCAAATACTTTCAAGGGTGAATTATCATTATATTATAAAAACAAATTTTCATATAAATGATATTTCACGTCATTTTTACTGTCATTTTATCCAAGAATAAATGCCGTTTCTCAGTTGGCGATAAATATAAGTGTATACACTTCAAGTTCTTGTTGATAATACTGATAAGAATTTTAATAACTTCATGATGGCATCTATGAGTTTACATGAAATATCCGCATTCACTTTTTCTAGAAATCTTGAAGATACAAGATATAATTCTTTATTTAATGTAATTCCTACCACCGAATTCGTACCATATCACGTCTTTTAACTTATCTGATCCATAAATTATTCTAGATGTAACAGAAGAGTAGTCCTGACCTAAGACGATAATTAATAATAGTGTTAATCTTATTGTTGTCGTCCGTGTCTTTTTGTCCCTGTGTCCCTTATTTCCGATATCGAAATGTAAGCTAATTCTTGTTTTTCAGAATGATAGTGGCAAATGAGAAGCAGACAGTGTACAAAAAGTTTCCTATACCTCTAATCAACTTTCTAGAGAAACATTGTTTTACCATCAACACCATGTTATCACCAGAACAACAACACGTTGTAGACAAGTTGGAGAACTGGGCAAAGGAGTTTGTCAAACAGAGAAATGTTGGTTATGCACATAGGTAAGTATGGTGGATGTAAAAGATGTATTTAACTACTATTTACAGTATTCAGTATTTCATTAGTATTTCATGTTATATCAGAATGTTATGCCATAAAATAAATATTTCTGGCCATACCTTCTGGAGATGGGACTGTACAACATAGTTAACTCGTTAAAATGAGAAAAAGTAAAAAGAATGAAATGTTCTGCAAGATAAATATATATCATATTATAAACATATTGCAAGCTTGTGCAATTTTTAAACTAAGAATTAACAGGTACTCTATAAACAATACTGATGAACTATAAATTGGAACAGTATACTTTTTTGTATAAACAATACTGATGAACTATAAATTGGAACAGTATACTTTTTTTGCGTTCATTGAACGCCGCCTTTCCTTGTTGATCTTGTTTAATATATTTTTAGCTCGATTATTTAAAACAAAGGGAAAGTCATTGTATTCACCTTGGCATTTGCGTTGGTGTCACACTTTGGTACAAGTTGGTACTTCCAAAATTACTGAAGGCAATGGATTGAAATTTTACACACTTATTTAAGAGCATGATTTGAGCTCCAAGAACTATAACTCTTACATAGATTTTAAAAGAATTTTTTAACTTACAAAATTTTACATTGTACAGGATTTTGTTTTTTCTATCACTCACTGACAAAAGGCGAGCAAGCTGTCCTACCGATACCTTTCGTTTTAAGCCAGACTTCTCACATTATAGGTGCGGACTTAAAATAGTCATAACTATTATTGTATTGTTAATTCAATTCCTGAAGCAGGGGATAATCTTGGCTATCAAAATAGAACATACTTTGACAAACTTGTTAACAACAGTATAGTTTTTGTGTCGCCTCCACGGAGGGATCACTTTTTCATCGTCTGTCTGTCTGTCTGTCTGTCTGTCTGTCCGTCCGTGACAACACTTGTCCGGACTACTCCCCTCAGCAACTACTGTTGCAATTTCATCAAAACTTTACAGAAAGGATCAATATCAAGTCTTGTTGTGGATATCGTCTGCATTTTCTGGTTCAATGATTTTTGGCCCTTAAAAGGGATAAAGGCCCTTAAATGATTTTAATTTTAAAGTTTGTCCGGACTACTCCTCTTACATCACTCATGCAATTTAAATGAAACTTTACAGGATTGATCTGTAGCTCAAGTTCTTGCGCATATAATACGGGTTTTTTGGCAAAGTGATTTTTGGCCGAGTTATGGTCCTTGAATAAAAAGGTTTTTTTTGTGTTTTGCCAGATACACAAAAAGTTGTCAGTACTACTTCTAAAAACTACTGATACAATTTCATCCAAACTTTACAGGAATAATAATTACCAAGTCTTCTTGAGCAGATCATCAGCTTTATATTTTTCAATGATTTTTGTCGGAGTTATGACCCTTTAATTATTTTCATTTTAAAAATGTGTCCGGACTACACCTCTTTTACCACTAATGCACTTTTATTGAAATTTACAGGATTGATTGGTAGGTCAAGAACTGGCACATATTACACAGGTTATTTGCTTAAATGATTTTTGGCTGAGTTATGGCCCTTGAATTAAAAGGGTGATAATAAAGTTTGTCCGGACTATTCCTTTAATACCACTAATGTAATTTCAATGAATCTTTACAGGATTAATTGGTAGGTCAAGTACTTATTTATTTGACACAAGTTTTTGACTTGAATGATTTTTAGTTGAGTTATTGCTTTTGAATAATAAAGTAGCTTTGTTTGTGTTGCCAGCCTCATAGGTTTGTCTGAACTACTGCTACTGATGTAATTTCATCGAAACTTTAGCGGAATGATCAATACCATGTTTGGTTGTGCATCTCATCAACACTTTTTGGTTCATTGATTTTGACAGAGTTTCGGCCCTTAAATGTTTTTAATTTTAAAATTTGTCTGGACTATTCCTATTATTCCACTAATGCAATTGCAATAAAATTTGACAGGATTGATCGGTAGCTCAATTTCTTGCGCATATAACACAGGTTTTTAGAATGCATGGCTTTTTGCCCCGTTATGTCTATCATTGGGCGACACCTGTAATCACTAATCGCTCTTGTTGTATGTTTATATTACAGAAGTAAAACAACAGCCACAAAAGTAGGTGATGTGTTTATTGGTTACCATAACGATACATGTTCAGCTATTGTTCTAGATGTTTGGAACAAACATACAGAGATAGAGAATGAGACAGACAGGGATACACAGGTACAAGTAGATGATGTCTTTTAGTCACTTTAATCACATGTTTTAGTTAAAACAATCACTTACGTTTAATGATGATCATATCACAGACAATTTATTCAGAATCTAACTAACGTTGATGGTTATTTTGAATTAAAGATATTTCTAATGTGAATGTAATTTTATTTGAATCAATGTTGAAAATCTTCACAAGACTTGAAGACATGGATGTTTTTATGCGGAGACATATAACAATTTACGTGTGTGTGTGTGTGTGTGTGTGTGTGTATGTGTGCGCGCGCGCGTGTGCGTGTGTGTGTTTGATTAATAGATTATATAGTTATCTTAAAAAATCATCTAACAAACCGCAGGTTCAACCAAAATTGCCAGAATTTTTACTTGAGTGAATGGAGTCCAAAGTGTTGAAAGTATTTGATTCCCTGCAAATATCTGGTTGAAAGAAATAATAGAAATAATTGTTAAAAAACTTTCTCCTCAAGAACTAAAAGGCATAGATCATGTATATATTGCACAAGGCATTGTCTTGCAGACTTCTTCTTCGACGTTTTCAAATTATAGCCGTCGGGTCAAAATTTGCCTCACCCCAAGGGTAATATGTATTTTCTATATATTTATATAGTGGAAAAAAATCTTTCCGATTAAACTACAAGGGCTAGAGCTTAGATACTTAGCATGAAACATTGTCTAGTGAACCTCTATTAACATTATTCAAGCTTTCGGGTCAAAATTGGATTTTCTTCAAATCAATTCAATTTGGTATAAAAAAAAGTCTGGCCATGAAAAGGACACATCTCATATTGTCAGGTATTTTGGTATACATTTGTAGATGTTTTGCGATTCGTCCTAAAACATTTAATACCTACGAGTTTGTCTAAAGGCCATGACCTCTAGCAAAAGAGAGAATATTATGAAATAATTCGAGGTCATGTCCTCTAGCAAGAGTGATGTTTGGCTTTGCAGGGATATTTATAAAATATTTTGAGCACATTATAAGGACATTATGATTCACACACCTTATATATAAGGATGATTTTTTAATCATAATTTTTTTTCAGCAATAGGTATTGCTTAATGGAAAAGACAGTATTAATGAAAAATTACTGTAGCTGTAGACAGCTATATATGTAGTACAGTAAATACCAAAATTTTTATGAAAGAATACTTACATTTCGAATCAATAATTATACTAAGAGCTTTGTATCTGAAAATTAGACAATCTGTACATTGTCTATCATTTCAAAAACTTAAATATGACCTTGACCCCCAAATTTCTAGACACTTATGCAATTATGGCGATGTTTAATTTTATAGAAACAAAAAATAAATCTGTTTGTTTTCCTACTGATAGGTGTTGTATGGCATTCTTAATCAACTGCAACCATGTTTGTTTGTTTTTTATTTATTTTTTCTTATTTTTGTGTTATCACAATTTATGTATTAAAAACAAAAATATCAACCTGTTACAAGTAATTTTTGATGTAGAATAGACTCTTCTTAAAACATGCATAATGTTTTACTTGTTAACCATATGTAATGTATGTATACCGAAAGAAAAATGTTTAGCAAGTTCGTATTAATATAATATTTTGATATGTTTATATTTCATTGAACAAAAACTCAATGACATACATTTTCAAGCTTTTAATTCCATTTGCAAACCAACTAGTAAATCGAAAATAGATATTGAATTCTCTTGATTCTGTCAACCGAAAATGGTAGGGATGTACGGGGCAACTCACAAAAGTGTTAATATCGAGTATGTCCTCCGTTAACAGCAAATACAGCAGCACATCTTCGTCTCATGCTGTTGATAAGTTTTCAAACAACATGTATAGGAATTCTGCGCCAATTCAAAGCCCGCTCAAGATCACGAACGGTGATGACGTCATTACGTTCTCTAACCTTACGCCCAAAATGGTCCCACATGTGTTCAATTGGAACAGCAATGTTGTTACGCCTAAGAACATTCTGTGTGTACCTTGCAATGTGTGGCCGGGCGTTTATCTGCTGCAAAATTCGTGCATGTTGTAACAGAAACGGGACAACAACTGGCTCCACTATCTCGTCACAATATCGCACTGCAGTAAGGTTTCCAGCTACTGTAATCAATTCAGTTTTACCACGATGACAAATTCCCGCCCATATCACACTGCCTTCTCCGTAACGATCGCGTTGAATGACGTTTTCCGGTTCAAATCTCTCGCCCTTCCGCCGCAATACACGTAACCTTCCGTCAGCAAAAGATTAAATCTTGACTCGTCGGTAAAAAGAACATCATTCCACTGTGCACGGTTCCATCTTTGGTGGATTTCAGCCCATGCGACGCGATCCTGTCGATAACGTGGTGTTAACGGTATCCCCACATGAGGTCGACGTCCATGGAGTCTGGCAGCGTGAAGTCTATTGCGCACTGTCCTGTCACAAATTCTAGTACCAGTAGAATTTCTGAGGTGATAAGCCAACCTGCGACTGGACATAAATCGATTTCGCCGTGACGTCAAAACAATTTAACGGTCTTCTGCCAACGTTGTTTTTGTGGGCTACCCGAACGTGGCATATTTTTTACATCCCCTGTTAGCTGATATCTAGTTTTAGACGACTAATAGTCGATTCGCTTACGTGAAATTGTCGTGCAACTTCAGGCGAGGTCATACCAGCATTTAGCATGCCAATAGTCACATGACATCGTGGTAACGTTATTCCTGGAGCACGTCCCATTGAATAATTTCCAAAATAAAATGTGGTTAATTTGTTTATGGTATAAGATTGGCAAGGCTGTATTACGTTTGGATTTTTTATACATGACATATTTCGTGCTGCACGTGCTCTCCCTGGTTTATTAGTTACTACGCGTTTTGACGTATCATAACCACAGATGCGTAAAACTGTACAGGGAATCTATGGTATAGTTCAAGCTAAAAATTATAACCGCATAAAACATTTATACATACATTGTCCCTAAATCTATATGTACCCCTACAGAACTTGCTAAACTTGTTTCTTTCAGTAAATGTATAATTGATTGAAAGTTTTACAGTACATGTTTCTTATGTAAATGAAATTTATTTGAATCAATATTAAAATTCTTACAGTAATAGTAGTTCTAAGATTTGGACATGTGTTTCTTTAGGCTTAAAGAAAGAAAAAAATGATATCAACCTGTTAAAGGTAAATTTTAATGTAAAATAGATTTTTGTAAAGTTTTCCTTAAACCATGTGTTATGTAATTAATTAAAGGTTTTACAAGAATCTAAGGCAGTGTTACTATGGTGTGCTACACCAGAATCCCTGATCAGATTGGAACATAGTAGCTTGTCAAACAAGGAAAAGGAGTTGTTGAAAGGATGGTACTTTAATAAACAGTCACATGACAACCTTCTACAATATTTGAATGTCAAAACAGTACAACAGGAAAACAGGCAATTATTTGCACAGGTAAAATTTAACATCAATCTCAGAATTTAGATTTTTATGAAGATGCATTTATTTTTTATTTTAAAAAGAAACAAATAACAGTACCATGTGACTCCCTTTTGTTTAAAGGCTAATCAAACCATAATAGCTTCCAACACAATCGAACTGAAATAAATTTGTATAAACTAAACCGTAAAAATGTTTCATATTTATCTCAGTTTCTGAAGTTGCTTTTCGTTTGCAACATAGCTGAATTAATTTTTGCTCTTTGCCTAAGTAAAGGTAGAGTAAAGACTTAAGTTTAAGTTTTTGTACGGAAGACAACATACCACATGGTAAGTTTTATGACAAATTATTTCACATTTATCTCTGCTTTTTTCACATTACAAGCATCTAACATATTGTAAATCCATCATTAAAACACAACCTAAAACACAGGTTGCCCTGTTTCAGAGGAAAACATTTGTTTTTACATTTATGGTGACTAAATATACGAGTATATTGTGTCTATAGATTTATAGCCTTCCTTTCATTATCATTGAGTGCAGATATTGGTCTTAATGATTTGAATGATGAAGTACGAGCTTTCTTGATAAAATAAGAATGATAATCAAATCAATAAAGAGTATAAAGTACATACAAAGATAAAACATTGATATTATTACTTCACGGGAGATCACGTGACTCTGCAAACGAGTAATGGCGACTTCTAAGCCTGGGTAGGTTCATTATTTGTATAAATTTAGGTGAGAAAAGTTTCTTGAATCTAAACTAGACCAAGCCTATCATATGCACGGTAGCTTTTTTTAAATATACTATACTCGTAAATACAAAATGCTTTGTCGTACGTTTTATGGTTTTCGAGAACTTTGTTTGAATTGTGTGCAGCTTAAGTAAGTCACACGAAACGGTATAATTTTGTACCAAACTGATTAAAATTAGCTTGTTCCTTCTTTAAAAGAACAAAACTAAGCATAATATTAATATCTTGTATCGTATAAGTCCATATAAAATCTTGGTGAAAAATCTGTAGAGTAAAAAAGTTTCTTTGCAGATGTAAAGTAAGTAAAACGAGCAATTTCTGGATAGTAAGTCACACGAAAACTAAATAGTAAGTTTCGTGCACTGTTTCCAATATTTACAAATAAATGTGTATTTGTAAAGAGTTAAAAACACCTTGTTTTGATTCATGATCACATATTTTGCTTTCGTTTCGACTGAACGAATGCAAAATATTTGACTTAGTCCTTTACTATAAGACTTTGTTGTCCAATTTATTAGAAGTAAAAGCAATATAACAGAAAGGCGTGTAATTCACGAAATCGAAAAATGACATGGGAAGCTTGAACTATTTAAAATTGTTTGCTTGACAAATAACTGTGAAGGTATAATGTGTTCTATTTCTGTTTCTTTAAAATAACGAAGTTGCTGGGGTTGTTATTGAGTTTTAAATACCTTGAATATACGTAACGTATTTTATATTGTTAGACTGCCATTACATGTGTAAAATATGTGGAAAAGAGTTGAAAGTCTGTCTGAGTTTTTGCGCTTGAGCGAAACCACAATGTTATGCCTCCGTTCCCACCCCACCTTATGCAAGTGCTACGGAAACTGTTTTACAGAGCAGCCAACATAACCACTGGCACAGATATTTGAAATCATTTATTCGTTTGTTAACTAAGACATATAATAAAATGAATGACGTATAGCAAATGCTGTCTGCATTCATAGTCGTCAACAATGAAGTAAAAGGGTACCTCATGGAAGCTTAAAATGACAGATTATTTAGAATAGACTTGTTTTGTCTTTAAAAATAGCAGTAAAATACACAGAGGGGAGAAAAACTACAGGTCTTTGCGTGAACCTCTTCCAAAAAAGGCAGGTGTAGTTTGTATAACCGCATGATCTTCAAATTGTTTCTTCCGGTGAATTTTCATGTTGCAGGCTACACTAGTTTATGCTGCCGACCCTTGTAAATTCTTAGTGAACTCCTTTTCTTTCTGCGTTTATTACACCTGCATAATTTTATACATATCTATAAAACTTATTTTAGAATCATTTTAAGTAATCAGCTGTATTTGACTGCTATTACTAAAAGACAAGAAAAAAATGTCAATTCTATTCTGTTATTTTGTCGAAACAATTTTATGCCTCTTAAAGGAACATGTTTACTGTTATGTCGATGGTGATAAATGCAGACAAATCATACGCTAAACGTCATTCAATCTTAAATATATGTCTTAGTTATCATAAGGATAGATAATGTAATTTTTTTTAATATCTATGTCGGGTTATGTTGGTTTTGCTGTAAAACAGTTTTCTGCAGCACTTGCCCCGGAAATTACCAGTGTCGCTTTATCTGATAACCCGGGCAGACCTTTTCCCGTTTTTCGCACTATATGCACATGTAATAGAATACCATTCTGAAAACAAAATAAATTAAATATTTAACATTATTTTATGAATATAACACTCAACAACAACCCCATCAACTTCATTATTTTACAGAAACAGGAAAAATAGAACACATTATGCCTTCATTGACTGTTATTTGTCAAGAAAACAATTTTCAGTACTTCCAGCCACCCCCCAACAGATCAACAAGGAAAATGCATGTTCGTATACCTTGTTTTCCGGTTTCATTGAAATTCCCATGCATTTTGTCGTGAGCAATGCTTTCGAAAGACACCTCTCTTTCCAGAATTTTACACACCTTTCTGTTATATTGTTTTTACTAATTGTTAATTTAAAAGCTTATGGACTAAGATAGATTGTTTGTAGCGTAAACTTAACGTAGAAATGAAGGAGATAAATCTATGGAATGTATCGCATATTTCGCGACAATGGCGTCCTAAAACATGTACACATAACTATATATACGTACTATAAAAAATGACAAAGCATTCGTTATTTCGAAACAAAAGTGAAATATTTGATCATGAATTAAAACAAGTTAACTCTGAAGAAATACACATGTATTTCCTTTCAAAGTATATGTTAATATTAGAAACCATGCGTGAAACTTTTTTGTTTTCGTGTGAAGAAATTGCTCGTTTTACTTACTTTATATCTGCCAAGAACTTTTTTTACTCTACAGATCTTCAGCAAGATTTTATAAGGACATCTACGATAAAAGATGTCAATATTATGCTTGATTTTGTTTTTGTGAAGGAAGAAAGCTTATTTTCATTCATTTTAGTACATACATATGTAATTACAATGTATACCGTCTCGTTTGACGATATTGAATGAGTGTAAGTTCAAAACTTAATTTATTGCACGAGTTGAATAAAATTATATTATGCGAGCCTCTCGCGAGTATAATATTATTTTATTTAACGAGTGCAATAAATTCAGTATATTAAATGAACTTACACGAATTTAATATTCTATTTATCACATGCCCAAAATAAAGACAGTTTATAATAAAATAAGTCATTTTTCATTGACGCGCTTAAAGTAAAACGTTAACATTTAGCGCTCTTACATTGTGTTTGTATAACGCTAATGACGTCACGTCAAAATATATGCACGGCCGTGCAATACCATATTTACGGAGTCGCAAAATCGGCAAGGGTGTGCGATAAAGCTGCATCTGTAATTTTTTTATACAATTCAAACAATGTTCTACATAGGACAATACACTTGGTATTTATATTTGAAGAAAGTTACCGTGCATATGATATATGTTACGTCTAGTTAAGATTTAAGAAACGTTTCTCATCTCAATATATAACAATAATGAGCTTACCGAGGCTCATAAGTCGTCCTTACTCGTTTGTATTATTAAACAAAGTCTCGTGATTCCCCCGTGTACTTATTTCGCACATTCATTACAAGCTAAGGTCAATGTAACAATTGATTCCACAGATAACAACCCATTCCAAACTGATGACAGGTGTACACAAAAGAGAAATCAGTAAAGCCACTGGAATAGATGTTGATAAAATACTCCTGCTAGAAACTTTACCAGCTGTTGATACTGAACAACAATTGAGAAACACGATTTTGTAAGTTTAATTAGTTAGTTAAGTAGTGAACATTTAAAGTTTTCAACTTTATTTTTAAAAGACTGACAATTATATTATGGTATATTGGAAAAGTTTAAGGGCTTAAATTATCACATTAGTTAATTTCTGTTAAGGAATTGCAATATGTTTATATCTTCTCAAAATTGCAATATGATTATAGCTGTGGAAAGATCTTCAAGCTTGTAAGTACACTGTAAAATCCTTAGGTTGATGTCTTTATGCACTTAGCCCTTTGATCATGGTTTTCAGTCAGAACATATTTTGAAATATTTCCTTACACTGATAAATGGTTTTGTCCAGATTGGAAGATGGACAATTTCAAAAAAAAACAATGTTATACGACTCCATCACAGTTATGTCATTGCCCTTTTAATACATTTTGCTGTGGATTCAATTGGTAATAAGTGATGCAGGTTTTTATCTAAACTCACATTGTAACTAGAAATGACATTTGATATTACAGACAGCACATTCAAGGTACAGGAAAAGACCCGAGTCTGATGGTGATACAGTGTGACTCTGGTGATAAGAACGCCAATCTGATTGCATGTGCTCGTTACTGCGTCATGGATGAATTTGAAAAGATGCGAGAAGAACTAAGAGCTCCTATCCATGTTGTGTTTATTGTACAGCTCTCTCGAGGGGCCTCATTCACAGGATTTCAGGTATTTTAGTTACTTTAACAATGCACATGAGAACAATAAAAGCCATTGTGAGTGATAATAAATTATTTTCAATTAATTATATATGTGTTGTTTTGTAAATCCTTTCTTAGGAAAAGTCGGTTGTGAATGACAGACATGCATGTACAGGAATAGAAATTATATCTCTTATGATAATGTTTCAGTGCGGACTTTGGCACTCAGCACACATAGATGATCTGTATCGAGGAGATATTAACATGCCTACACTAAAAGACATGCAAGGTAAATCTAAATGAGTATGGACTATATATATACTGTTTCTTAATATTGTTTGATTTTATTTACCTGTCAATTCCATACTGATTATAAAGTCAATGCACAGAATATATCAATATTCGATAAATGTTCGGTAAATTCCGTGAGATGTACGCAGTAAGATGTGGTTAAATTAATCTTGTTTCTATGAATTAGTTATACTGACCGTTATAGCGAAATAGAGTAAATTACGGGCATATTATATCTAAATTCCCTACGTGTTGTAAGATCGAAACAGCGTATGTCCATTTATTTTCTTATTTATAACTATTTTTTAGCGATTGTTTTGTAAATACTATACTTTTGTATATAAGATTGTTTAAGAATTAGTAATCAAAATTCTTTCGAATTAAAATCAATAAATGTCTTTTCAGTGCCGTAAAATACAATACAAAACGTGGCAATTCAATGTTTTTTAGTTGTTTAATATCCATGTAGACAATTTTGCAAACGCTTGACAATTTTTATTAAAATATACTTAAATATAAAGAAAGAATAAGCCTTAAAAGAATGTCAAAAGAAGGGATCGAACCTCGGAACTCTCATACATTAGGTAATCACTTAACCAACTGTGCTATTGCGGATGTTACGAGAACCTATATTAAGCTTGTGGGAGTTTTCCAAACGTCAGTCATATGCTCCATATTAATTCTCGTAAAATAAACGGACAAAACCGAAGTGGGATCGAATATTTAAATGAGTGCTTTAATGTATTCATATTTGACAGGTCAATAAAATCAGACTATATCTTTTATTTATCAACTATGACATCTAGAATGATGGAGATCTGAAACATATACATACAAAGGGTAAGTGATGGAATGGAACAATAATCATTGATGTATATTCAGCTTATGAATTAATACAGATTAGACGCAATTAAGATGGAGACAATGCTACTGAGAATTGAGTACCGCTCAAGCCGGTGCTAGGGGGCGTGAGGGATGTTGCACTTATTCATTATCCCTCATGTACAGACTCAATCAAACCGAGTCTGCAATTCTTATGTAATTTTGTTGTGATTAATGCTTCCGAGGGATCACTTTGTTTCTAGATTTTTACACGAATATGATTATTGACCAAATTTGTATTACAAATGGTGTAAGTAAGAAAAAGGGGAGCTAACTATATAATGTCCAAATAATGCACCAGAGTAAAAGGAAAGTATCTAATAGTGTATATTCCACTATCCCCTTCTGAGTCACTGGTGAATCCCTGTGAACAATGGCTAGTAAAATATAAATTCTTCGAAATGCAGCTAATCTGCCATTAGATTATAATGTTCTTTACACTAGTAAACCAGTGATCGATAGATAGAACAAATTAAATTGCTACTTGCAACTAACTGATTTGTCAACAAATAAATGAAATCAACATTGTAACTGAATTTAGGTTAAAATCAAGCACTTAAGTAATCACTCACTTATTTTCAGCAAATTTTAATGAACACTTATGATGGGTCGACCTTCTCAGGATTAGACTGCTCTCCAGCCGGGGGATTATTTTGCCCCGTTATCAACTGCACATAATCCTGTTACCATCCTGGTTTCACACTCGGTCGCTTGGGACGTCGTAGAGTCATAGGTGTGGTAACAGTTGGTTGGACTGGTTGTTTTTGAAAGGTTGATGTAGGCTGATGTGTAGGTTATGTGGGCATGGCATCTGGAGTAGAAGGGACCGGTTTGCGATCTGGGCTATTACACATCGTGTCTGGGGAATCGACAGGCGTGTTACTTGTAAGTTCACTACTGTGAATTGGTGAGGTGTCCGTTCTAGTGGTACTCATGTCGGTGTCTAAATTACCGGAAGTGGTTCCGGGTATCAACCGTGTCTGTATGAGAGTTGTCTGACGTAAAGGAGTTTTTGCACTTGGACGGTAGTTATTGCACGTTGACAGTAGTTTGCACTTTACAGTACCGTCCATGAACAGGCTCAATTAATACAGATTAGACGCAATTAAGATGGAGACAATGCTACTGAGAATTGAGTACCGCTCAAGCCGGTGCTAGGGGGCGTGAGGGATGTTGCACTTATTCATTATCCCTCATGTACAGACTCAATCAAACCGAGTCTGCAATTCTTATGTAATTTTGTTGTGATTAATGCTTCCGAGGGATCACTTTGTTTCTAGATTTTTACACGAATATGATTATTGACCAAATTTGTATTACAAATGGTGTAAGTAAGAAAAAGGGGAGCTAACTATATAATGTCCAAATAATGCACCAGAGTAAAAGGAAAGTATCTAATAGTGTATATTCCACTATCCCCTTCTGAGTCACTGGTGAATCCCTGTGAACAATGGCTAACTGCACGTGCATGTGTAGTTATTGCACGTTGACAGTAGTTTGCACTTTACAGTACCGTCCATGAACAGGCTCAATCAAACCGAGCCTGCAACATTTTTTAATTTTGTTGGGCTTTCTTTAGGGATTCTTATTTCTCTCTATTTTGACAAACTCTGTAAATCAGTCGCAATAGTTTGACGTGCTTGGGGTTTGTACACGGGTGTATAACGACGGAGGAACTTCCTGTTGTGTAGCGTCATTCGCCCAGAACCATCAGTTCGTACGGGATATTGGTCAAATTGATGGATTTCAATGATCTGACCTGTTTTATCCAACTTCAGAGGGTGACCACCAGTCTGGTTTTGTATTCTTACGAAGTCACCAACTTTGAGTGGCGGATAAACATTGAAGCGGGTCTTGGGCATAAACTAGTGGAAGGAGGATTGGGCTGAGAAGGTACGATTACAATGTCAGCAATTATTCCTTATACTTGTGATGTCAGCAGTTATTCCTGACAAGAAGACAGTCTGCTCAGCTCTAGATGTCATTGAAGTTACACCTTGGTGAGCCGAATGAAAGGAGGTAAGTATATCCTGTCGCAGGGAAGGGGAATCACCAGTCAGTCTTTGGAGACGCCGTCAACTGTGGACAAATGGTCTCTAAACGGGAAGAAATCTTGTAGGGAAGGCGGGAAGTCGGTACGAGTGGCTTGGACACCCGTTTCTATAAGTTCCACTAGTTGGTGCATAGGTTCATCACTCGATGTAGCTGTGCGTAGTTTGTCCCATGTTACACATTTCATGTTTTCAATTGAATTAACAGCTGATAAATACAGGTAAGACTAATTGTTTATGAATACTGATGAGATGTCATCAATGAGTACCATTGGTTCTGCAGCTTCGGTCGGTAGCGCGAAACGGCATCTGGTGCTCGGTTCTTGGCACCTGGCACATATAGCATCTTAAACTTGTATTGAAGCGTCTTTTCCTTCAAGTTGCGGAGACGTTCGTTTGGGATATTTTCTAGGGAATTATCCCCAAATAGTTTCAACAACGGTTTATGATCCACTACTATCACTAAGTTATCACATCCAAGTATCGAGCTTTCTCAAGGGCATCAGCTACAGCTAAAGCTTCGCCCTCGACTGGTGCATATCGCGATTCTGTAGCACTAGTGAATCTGCTTCCAACTAAAGTGATTTTCCACCCATAATTACATCAAAACGGTCTAGTTTGGGCACATTCACAGTGTTTTTGAAATAACCAGAATCTATTCCATTTTTAGACCAATCCGTCGCTAGGCAGGTCAACTTAGTGGGTTCATATATTCGCACACCGTTTTCAATCTCGTTGATGATCACAGATTTTGACTCCTGAAAGAGGTCATCGAGGGTTGAGTCCCACTTAAAAGGTGTACTTGGTTTAAGTAACTGACGGAATGATAACATGCGATATGTCAGAATGAACGTTATAAGACCGAACCATGATCGTACTTCAGTTATGTTCTTGGGTGTTGAGAATTCAAGAATCGCATGAATATATCTTGCACATGAGCGAACACTTTTTGGTGTTATTTCAAAACCAGCAAATTCCACATTGTCCTGGGCAAATACAAACTTATGAGGATTAAGCGTTACGCTATTTCGTCTACATATGTCGAGCCATTTGCATGCTTGAAAAAAGCTTTCTTCAATATTGTCAGCCTACAGGAGAATGTCATTTATACATTTTGTCTTCTTTGGGATGTCACTGACAATCTCATCGAAGCGCCGAATGTATCCATCGCCTGTAGCAACATATCCCTGCGGGGCAGTAAGGTATCGGTATCGACCTAACGGTGTAATAAATGTGGTAAGATGCCTGTCTGCTTGACACAGAGGTACAATGTACCTGTGGAACTGATCGTGCTTAGTGGAATGGAGCCTGAAAATGGTGTGTTTCTCGGACGGCATGGGCGTTTAAGGCCTGATAGTCTACCGTACGTCTAGGTGTTCCATTTTTCTTGGCACAAACTACCTTGCGGTGGCACCAAGTGACTGGTTCTCCTATGGGCACTAGTTCAGTCACACTTAGTCTCACATCCTGATCAAGTTCAGCTTTAACCTCCTCCTGCCAATAGAGTGGAACTGGAACAGGGGTATGATAAGCCACGGGCTTAGCATTAGGGTCTATAATAAGTTGCATAGGTGGTTCTGTCATGAGCGGTAAGGTCTGGTGCTCACAAGTATTAAATGTATTTGACTTGTACCTATTCAAGAGGGACTGTTTTAAGTCCATTACATGTTCTTCTGTTGCAGGAAACGGTAACTTTGTTGGTAGGTGGAGGGTTGTCGTTTTAAACAGTCACACAAATGAGCATCAAAACTGGTATGAAGCGATTCTGGTGTTGTGACTGGTTGTTTCACAGTCTGTTGATAAAAGCTTGTCCTCGACAGCGTTGTTTCGGGCCTCCGTTGAAGAGCATGTAATTGTTTCACCAAGTTTTGGGAATGATATTATACCCAATGCAGCGCATTCCTCCCTGCTGAGAAATATCTTGTCTGAATTGTTGGTGATGTAGACGATTTGGCGAGTCTGGAGTACAGTTCCATTAGACGACTCAGCAGGGAAGCGGATGATTGCTGCACCAAGTATCCTTATGCCTCTTTTGTTTACAGCATGCATTTTCATTGTCACTGTTATGAGATTATTTTCAGTCATACCCAAGCGATTCACAACTTTTATTCCTGCAAGGTAACTTTGGCAGCCAGTGTCTGCCATGGCGGATACTATCGTGTTCTTAGGTTTAGATGGGATGTTTGATTCACATCCAAACGTTTTGTAGTCATCCAGTACACTTTCTGCGATTAGTTTTTGTCCATTTGTCCGAGATGTTATCGTATACATGGTGGTCTAGAACCAGACCTTTCCGGTCGTATAATGAATTGGCTGAGCACAATGAATCAAAGACGGCATCTTCATGTTCGGTAAATTGTTTCTTCGCTGAGGATCTACACATCGACGAAAAATGGTAAGGCGTTTGCATTTGCATTTCGAACATGTCTGTCCATAAGCTGTGCATTCTTTTTTTCTGGGGCTGGGGCTCGCACACCGTGTCTATTTTTGCCACAATAAGAGCACAATTCACGTTGATTGAATTTCTTTGGATGTTCTTGACTCTTTGTTCGTTGTGCAAGATGTTTTCACGACGATATGAGCTTGCAGATTCAGCACCTTGAGAGTCAATTTACTTAGAGGCTGAGCGTTTTCCAGATTCTTTGGCTTCAACAACCTTGAGAACTTCCTCTAAAGTCATTTCTTGATTCTCAGCACCTAGCAGGTCAAGTTGGATCTCTTGGTCATAGAAACCGTTGATGAGTGTATCGCGTAGGATAGCATCGGTATAGTTGACATCACGATCATAATTTCCACATTTTAATATACATTTACACACGCTAGCGCAAAATTCACGTACTGGTTCATCTCGGTCTTGAGACATATTATTAAGTGTCACTCGTGCAACCATTGTATTTTCCTCTTGAACCGCGAGCTGTTGTATTGCTTTCAAAACATTGTCCTCTGTCTCGTTGGTAAGAGATCAACCTGCGGTCCTCGTTAGGTCCCTACGAAGTGTGCGATCGCAGCATTCAAGAAGTTGAATAATTAACTCCTTGCCTTTAATTTTGGTAGCTTCCACATAATCCTTCCATCTGAATAGAAAGTACGAACATTCCTCGCTTGTGCCAGCGGATGTAACTGATGGTCTTTTGACTTTTTAGCTTTAGCTGGCTTCACAGGAGCATCATGAACTTTGGCATGTGTAGTAATTAAGGTTGCCACTATAGCCGCATCTAGGTCAGCAGTTTCGTATTCACATGTATGTATCGGGCACTGAACTTTCGGCATCTTTGTATAATGTCCCAACACTTAGGCACGGTAGATTTTAAGGCCAAATATGACGGATATAACGTAATATGCTTCTGATAGTGTTTATATCCAATGCATTTCCATCATAAATGAGTATGGACTATATATACTGTTTCTTGATATCTTTTATTTATCAACTATGACATCTAGACTGATGGAGATCTGAAACATATACGTACGAAAGGGTAAGTGATGGAATGGAACAATAAATCAATGCTACTTACAACGTAAATAAGATGGAAACACTACGAATATGATTATTGACCAAATTTGTTTTACAAATGGTGTAAGTAAGAAAAAGGGGAGCTAACTATATGATGTCCAAATAATACACCAGAGTAAAAGGGAAGTAACTAATAGTGTATATTCCTCTAAAATTTATATCTAAACTCTTCACAGATTATGTAAAAGAACCTTCTGCAATGGAAACTGATGAGGATGTTCCTAAAGAAATGTATGATAGTGTTTACATAATAGTTAATATCAAATTTTCATTAATTGTACAAATGTTTAATATTGATATAGAGCACTTGATTACATGTCATTTGTATTTTTTGTGCATACTTCTTTTAACATGGACTATTATTCTCGATACCTTTTTCAAGAAACGCTACAAAATTATTCAAACAACTCCTACTTTACTTGCCACTCCTACTTCTTAGGCCACGTTTAGTTTTTAAACCATTCCTACCTTTTAGACCATGCCTGTGTTACTCATAGTTAACAGATTACTCTGACTTTACAGACCACTGCTACTTTTAAACCACTTTGACTTAATAGACCACTCCAACTTTACAGAGCTGCCCTACTGTACAAACCACTCCTAATTAACAAACCACTCGTTCTTTACAGACCACTTCTTCTATTTAATAAAGCACTTGTTATAAAGAGTATTCATCAGCTAATTAGCAAGCATTAGGTTTCACTTAGATATATAACTTGAGTTTTTGATACTGTTAATGTAGTCAATAAACTTTCATAAATAATTTCAGTTCTCAGCCAGAAAAGAAATGCAAAGGACTCGTGCAGATCCTAGAAATGCTTCAGCAAGACAGGAGGTAATTCACAGGACGCTTAAACAGATTTTATACATGAAATTACATATGTTTATTATTCAAACGGTTTAAAATTTCCAAATTTTCTAAGTTTATTGTTACAGAAGAGTTTTTGTTCGGTCACCCCGTATATTTAGTCACAGTTATTGTTTGACAATACTGACCTGGAACTGTCGGGAATTGCGCTCATATGTGTTAAATGACGCCAACGTATGCGTGACGTTAGAGTACGTCACTTCCTATGTTTTGTAGTATAAACGTTAATAGTTTTGAATAGACGTATAAACCAGCCACAACGTGTTGTACATTATTATCATAGTAAAGTACCCTATCCGACATTGGTGCCGTGACGAAAACATTATGAAGATAGATAAATTGCGATCATTGAGAGATGGTCAACGAAGATGTGTAGAAATTCAGTTTGAACGAATTGAATGGGGAAAAGGGAATTCATCGATAATAGAATTTTACGCAATTCTCAAAGCCATTGTCAGAAAAGCAGAGACGATCAAATCCTTAAACGAAAATATTTAAGAACTAACGGAAGTAATCGACATCGAGGAGGAAATAGTAAGCAGTGAAGAGTATGGATTAACGTTGAAGATAAATGTGAAAGAACTTCGAGCTTATAGCGAAAACAGAAAAAGCAACACTGAAGAACAAGAGAATGATTATAGCGAACCAACTTACCCGCAAAACCAGAGCAAAGACGGAAGTGGTTCCCTGGTCAAAATAATAACGTGAATAATGGTAACAGTTCTTTGCAAAAGCGAGTACATTCATTCAAATACGTCGCTCAGAGACTGCCGAAATTATCGCTACCTGTATTTAGTGATGACATTCTCGAATGGCAAAGTTTTTGGGATGCTTTTGATTCATCTGTCATCAAAACCCGAATCTAACAGAAGTACAAAAATTTAATTATTTGAAGACGCAACTCGAATGCAGTGCGGCTCAAGTTATTCAAGGATTTGCACTTACGCATGCTAATTACACTCAAGCAGTCGATTTACTGAAGGAGAGGTTCGGACAGTCTCATATAATCATTCATGCGTATATCCAGGCGTTACTAAATCTGCCAGCCCCGAACAATACTCTACACAGTATGAGAAATTATATCGACAAATTAGAAGCTCACATCCGTGGATTGAAGTCCCTAGGCCAATTTCAAAATACTTATGGAACCCTTTTAGTACCAGTCATTATAGAAAAACTTCCGGCAAAAATTTGCAAGAGTTTAGCACGAGAAAATGACAGCGATAAGCGGTTTTTAGAAACTTCACGAAGAGCGTTATACCGTGAACTGAATATCATGGAGGCCGGGCAGACTACAGATGATTTAACATGTTATAGAACTACAGCGTCGTTTTTCACGGGCACGAGACAGAAAACAGGAATCGGAAGTCATGTGACATGGAATTCCGCACGAAAAACGTTTGATGACCAGGAACAGTGTATATTTTGCAACGAATGTCACAATACCAAAAACTGTGCAAACGTAACTGATGTGAGAGCTAGAAAAGACATTATAAGAAATAAGCATTTATGTTTTAATTGCTGGAATATTCACCACCAAGTCATTAACTGTCCATCAAACTACAGGTGTTTCAAATGTAGAAGAAAACATCACACTAGTATATGTGATAGTAGTCCAGATTCAAATCTAAATATCGGTGCTAGCGAGTCAACCCGATCTTCAACCGAATATCAACCCACAAATCAAGCACAGATTGCAATTTTGCAATCAAGCGCCGCACATGAAGCGTTCATAGATTACGACACGTAGAAAAGCGTTAAAGAGAAATGAGAAGGAGTACAGTTATTATTAAATTTCACGAACACAGACTATGAACATTTATAAGATATATGAATTATCAATTGAGAGACATTTGTGTTATTTTAAAACAATGACTTTTTATTTAAATGTATTTTAGAAAGAATTTAGAATCTATATCTAAGATTTGTTGAAATTGAGTGATATTAATTTTAATAATTTATCATTTTGCGGCCCCAGAATGTCGGGAATTGCGCTCATATGCATGTGCCGTTACATGACGCGAACGTATGCGTGACGTAAGAGTACGTCACTTCCTATGTTTTGTAGTATAAACGTTAGTAGTTTTGAATAGACGTATAAACCAGCCACAACGTGTTGTACATTATTATCGTAGTATAGTACCCTATCCGACAGGGACATTTGAATATTCAATGCTCTTTTGCCGGCAATTATCGGATTCTGCCGCATACAATTTAAGAAATTAGTAAGGAAAATCTAAAAAAATGTTTATCGAGGATTCGAACTTGCAACTTCATCGTTCTTACCACTTGGCTATCAGGCCATAATTATGCCTGAAATAATCGAGAACTTAACTTTCATACAATTCAATGGATAAATCGTAATGAATTGAGGAACATAACGACAAATCTCCTGAAAATGAATGAGTGTTGGGTTTCCTCCATTTAACATTGCTCAGCAGGACTTGTATTTGAGCGAGTTTATTTATTTTATTTAACCAGAAAAGTACACCACTTTTGCACAAATGTTACTGAATAACACTTTTTCACATTTATATGCTGACAGCCACCTGTATGTGACATGCCTGCCACATAACTTCAATTAAATTCTATTTGAATTTATTCTACCCATTGTTATTGTATATTTGTAAACATGGGAGACATTAAGATTTATTCTACTCATTGTTATAATATATTTTTAAACGATGGGGGACATTTAGATTTATTCTACCCATTGTTAATGTATATTTGTAAACGATGGGGGACATTTAGATTTATTCTACCCATTGTTCTTGTATATTTGTAACCGATCGGGGACATTTTAGGAAAAAATGCAAGATAAAAATAATAACATATGTAAACTGAAATGTTTTATTGTTTTATATTTCACTGACAAAATTACGAAACAAAATCAAAATTCTTCTAGGTAACATAGTTATTACAATGATTATAAAACCATCTCATGCATGAATGCAATAATGCAATAAGTAAAATTTGGATGAACCATGGCTTTTGTTTTCATTCAAGAATATACCTGTCCCTGAATATGTAGTGAGAATTCTACTATGACACCCAGTTTGTATGTCAAAACAAAAATTAACCTGAAACCGGTCTTGTACATGTTTCAAAATCTAGAGGATATTTTTCTAACCGTTGAATACCGTGGAATGTATGACTTTTTAGGATAACGAAGATAACGGATTTGTAATAAACACAAAGGGTTTACATTTTGATTTAAAGATATTTATTTAAGTTCGATTGCGAAACAAGTTCTTGCAACTTATATTATACACTTTCGAGTCAGCTTCCTGGAACCAACCAGTGACGATGTCATACAAAGAAACATGGTCGTGACCTTAAAAGGGCTCGAACCCATGATCCCTGGGTTGAGAGGCAGACACATTAACCACTAGGCCACCACTCCCCTTTACAACTGTAGTATAATTTGAAAGCAGTTTTGATGTATACTAAATAGAAAAATTGTTCAAATGTGTAAATGTACAAATAAAGTGATTTAATCAAGTCAAGCACATTTGATATATACATACTTGTACAATGAGTATATTACTGACTTTTTAATATTAAACTATTTTTAAGATCTAATGTTCTTTAAGCATATAGTTTTAAAACCTTTAAAAGTATCACATCAGTAAATATTACTATATAACTATGAAAAAACAACACAACAACACATAATTATAAAACAATTATTAACATCCATATCGAAAACATAAACATAACAATATCCTAATTAAAATATATAAGATTCTTTCTCATATAGATCCAAATATGTTTTGTTTGATAGCTAGAATTTTCGAATTTAAACTACATAATTTTATCTACCCACGGCTAGAAATGTAGGTTATAGTCATAAATACATATAAAATTACAGTTATCATATTTGAGCAAATGACAGGAATGTATCAATGTATCCACGTAACAAAATATCAGAAACTATAAGACAAGCCGATCTGTGCACAAAAATAGTCTAATTAGTTTGACGTGAACGGTTTGATCCATTTTACGGACATTTTTATCTCCATCATACCGTTGGAAAAAGACATCTCCAGTCCAAAATTATTTCGCTGTCTCTTGGACAAGTTTGATTAGCTGGCAATATAATAAGTACATGTATATGGAAAATGTCATAGTTTATTCATTAATATGCTTATTTGAATGAAGTTAACAACATTGATACTATAATGTATAAGGTGTAAAATTCGACTGAAAAGCAAAACTAAACTATTTGCACATATGCGTAGCTATGGAAAAGTACAGTACTTATCCAAAACCCCTTGTACAAACAAGAGGTTCATGATGGCCCTAGATCGCTCACCTGACCCATCGAACTCATCCGAGCAATTACCTAGACAAGCATCCTGACCAAGTTTGATGACAATTGAGTCAAAAATGTGACCACTAGAGTGATAACAAGGTTTTTCTTTTTTTATATGCCCGAAAGAATTTCGGACATATTATGTTATACCCCCTGGCGTCCGTCCGTCTGTCCGTCCGTCCGTCTGTCCGTCTGTTAGCAATTTGGTTTCCGGAGCATAACTTAAGTTCCATTTGGCCCACAATATTCAAACTTCATAGGATGATTGTCCATATTGGGTAGAAGACCCCTATTGATTTTGGGGTCATAAGGTCAAAGGTCAAGGTCACTATGACCTTAAAACTGAAAACAGTTTCCGGAGCATAACTTAAGTTCCATTTGGCCTACAGTGTTCAAACTTCATAGGATGATTGTCCATATTGGGTAGAAGACCCCTATTGATTTTGGGGTCATAAGGTCAAAGGTCAAGGTCACTATGACCTTAAAACTGAAAACAGTTTCCGGAGCATAACTTAAGTTCCATTTGGCCTACAGTGTTCAAACTTCATAGGATGATTGTCCATATTGGGTAGAAGACCCCTATTGATTTTGGGGTCACAAGGTCAAAGGTCAAGGTCACTATGACCTTAAAACTGAAAACAGTTTCCGGAGCATAACTTAAGTTCCATTTGGCCCACAGTGTTCAAACTTCATAGGATAATAGTCCATATTGGGTAGAAGAACCCTATTGATTTTGGGGTCACAAGGTCAAAGGTCAAGGTCGCTATGACCTTAAAACTGAAAACAGTTTCCGGAGCATAACTTAAGTTCCATTTGGCCCACAGTGATCAAACTTCATAAGATGATTGCCCATTTTGGGTAGAAGACCCCTATTGATTTTGGGGTCACAAGGTCAAAGGTCAAGGTCACTATTACCTTAGAACTGAAAACAGTTTCTTGAGCATAACTTAAGTTCTATTTGGCCCACAGTGTTCAAACTTCATAGGATGATTGTCCATATTGGGTAGAATATCCCTATTGATTTTGAGGTCACAAGGTCAAAGGTCAAGGTCATATTACTTAGAAATTGAAAACAGTTTCTTGAGCATAACTTAAGTTCCATTTAGCCCACAATATTCAAACTTCATAGGATGATTGTCCATTTTGGGTAGAATACCCCTATTGATTTTGGGGTCACAAGGTCAAGGTCACTATTATTTTAAAACTGAAAACAGTTTTCGGAATATAACTTAAGTATCATTTGGCCTACTGTGTTTAAACTTCATAGTATGATTGTCCATATTTGGTAGAAGACCCCTAATGATTTTGGGGTCACAAGGTCAAAGGTCAAGGTCACTTTTACCTTAGAATTGAAAACAGTTTCTGGGGCATAACTTAAAGTTCCATTTGGACCACAATATTGAAACTTCAAAGGAGGATTGTTATTTGAAGGAGGTAATACTTTATTTTACTCCCATGTCTTACAAATGCTTCATCTTTACTAAAAAAAAAATCACTTTCGGGCATATAATGCTCCGCCTAGCGGTGCTCTTGTTAGCTCCTGTGACCTAGTTTCTTTTTTTAAATGACCTGTGTTCGAACTCATCAGGGCAATTACCTAGACAAGCATCCTGACAAAGTTTGATGACAATTGTGTCAGAAATGTGATCACTGGAGTGTTTTCAAGGTTTTCAATATTTGGGCGGTGTGATCTAGTTTTTAACCCCATGTGACCCATATATAAATTTGACAAAGAAATCATTAAACAATTTTTCGGACCAATTTCCAGGATAATTGGATCCAAAAAGTAGCCAATAGAGTATTAACAATGTTTTTATTTTTTTAGCTCCTGTGACCTATTTTTTCATCCGAGATGAGCAATTACCTAAACAAGCATCCTGACCAAGTTTGATAACAATTGTGTCAAAAATGAAATCACTAGAGTGTTAACAAGGGTTTTCCATATTTGGGCGGTGTGACCTGGTTTTTGACCTCAGGTGACCCATATTCAAACAAACTTGACATAGAAATCACCAAAACAAACTTTCAGACCAATTTCCAGGATATTTGGATCAAACAAGAGGGTCAAGAGGGCCACTAGAGTGTTAACAAGATTTTTCTATTTTTAGCTCTTGTGACCTAGTTTTTCGTCCGAGAGGACCCATGTTAGAACTAATCCGAGCAATAAACTATAAGTATAAAAGCATCCTGACCAAGTTTTATGACAATTGAGTCAAAAATGTGACTACCAAAGTGTTAACAAAGTGTTTCCATTTTGGACAATATGACCAAGTTTTTGACCCTAGGTGACCCATATCCAAATTGGATCTAGAAATCATCAAAACAAACTTTCAGATAAATTTCCAAGATATGTGGATCAAAACAGTAGCCTCAAGTGTTACAAGGGTTTTCTATTTTTAGCTCCTGTGACTTAGTTTTTCATCCGAGATGACCCATGCTCGAACTTGTCTGGGCAATTACATAGAAAAGCATCCTGACCAAGTTTGATGACAATTGAGTCACAAATGTGACCACTAGAGTGTTAAAACGCTTTTTTAAGCTCCTGTGACCTAGTTTTTCATCCGAGATGACCCATCTTCGAACTCATTTGAACAATTACCTAGACAAGCATTCTGACAAAGTTTGATGACAATTGATGTGACCACTAGTTTCTTTTTTAAGCTCCCGTGACCTAGTTTTTCATTCGAGATGACCTATGTTCGGACACACCCGAGATATTACCTAGACAAGCATCCTCACAAAGTTTGATGATGATTGAGTCAAAAATGTGACGACTAGAGTGTTAACAAGGTTTTTTTTTCTATTTTTAGCTCCCGTGACCTAGTATTTCATTCGAGATGACCAATCTTCGGCCTCATCCGAGCAATTACCTAGACAAGCATTCTGACTAAGTTTGATGATGATTGAGTCAAAAATGTGACGACTAGAGTGTTAACAAGGTTTTTCTAATTTCAGCTTCAGTGACCTAGTTTTTCATCCGAGATTACCCATGTTCAAACTCATACGAGCTTTTACCAAGACAAGCATCCTGACAAAGGTTGACGATGATTGAGTCAAAAATGTGACCGCTAGGGTGCTAACGGACGACGGGATCCTAAAAGCTCACCCTGAGTTACCTCAGGTGAGCTAAATATGTATGAATGGTTGTTGCTATACGTCAAACGTCTCATGTACTTTATGCGTATATCCGCTTATAATGGGACTTATTACCTTTCAGAATTCTTTATTATAACTCATGTAAGTGTGCTTTCGCCAAGGACACCTACTAACCACAATATTCCCGATTTAAAGCCCTTACCATCGTCCTTTGAGTGTTCAAAGCAAAAGAGAAAAAAATGTAATGTTTAATCATGACATTACAAAAACTCAACTATAGAATTGTTACATATAGAATTGTGCATATATTGTAAAGAAAGCAATCTTATCTTCAAAAAGATCCTATCCATGTTTTTTTTTGTTGTTTTTTTTTAAATACATGGATATGGTCTTAAGTCGTTGATCCATAAACATACAAATAATATTAACAGGTTTAATTTGTCTGGTTATATCAGGAACGTTATCTTATGCTTACTCATTATATAAACTCAGATTTTTCATGCACGTGAATAACATTTAATTAAAGAAAACAAGCTTGGTTAGGTATAAGATAATATACAAAAACTAAATATTCAAGTCAATGGAAAACAAAAGTGACATAAGAGTGTCGTATACATGTACATGTAGCAGGATTTGATCATTTCTATCAAATCTTAAGAAGTAAGTTTAAATAATTTTTATTTTGTCAATAAACATATGTTAATAAAAAGACAATTTAAACTTGCATGCCTATACTAGTCTATATGCCAACGACCTCTTAAACAAAATCCTTGATAAAAGTTTGGGCTAATCTCTATTTAATATGATTCTTCATATAGGATAATCAATAACAATTGCAATTCTAACAAAGGGTTAGTTTCAAGTGTTACACAAAATAAAAATTGTAGTAAAGTAACACTGAAAAATATAATTCATAGAAAAACAATTACATGTAGCTCATGTTGGATTTCAGACAAATTAAGTGAAGAATTATTATATTCAGCTTGTTTGCATTAACACAAAGACATGAAGCAGAAAATGACTGAATATCTCGTTCAATGTTCATTGAACAAAAAGATGACTCTGGTTTTATGATTTTTAATTTTTGAAAATGGACAAATAAGGAAGCCTCGTCAATATATGTTTTCGCAATGAAGGACTTTGCCTGTCTGTGTCAGTTAAAGTTAACATCGTTTTAAAGTGAATTGGTATAGAAATACTATAAATGATTATGTTGATATTCTTCAGTATTATTATATGATAGCAAACCACAAAGTCTATTATATATGGATGTTGTTAATAAGTAAGAGATTCATAGTCCGATATAACATACATGTACATTTATATAGCAAATAGATTTGTCTAGAACAAAATGTTATTATTCCTCATATTAAACCGCTAAGAACTCTATCAACATTTTTTTCAAGAAATATTTCATAAGAATATCCAAATGGTGCATTTCAACTGTTTTTATCAAAATTGGAAATATTTGAGGAAAATATGCCCATTGTAGACCAGTTCACTTTAAGGATACTTTCTGTTTCAATTCATATGATCACAACAGCGTTCCTTTTTCAATTTCTCTTACAGCTACCAAGCCATTTGTTTCAGTTTCAATTGGCATGTTTGTGTTCTCTAGGTTAAGAGTATGGACAAGTTAAATAAATGGTTTTATCTTCTCCTCCGGTGGTTCTTTTAAGAACGACACTCAAATGTGTTTCTCTTTAATATGTTTTGACCTTAATTATATCGTATGTCCTCTTGTTTGACTGTACAATTGTGAAAAGTTTGTTTCTCATTGGAACACAGTTACTTTTTGTCAATTTGTTTAAAGACCGAGATATACTAAGCTGTGTCTCATTTTCAAGTGTTTCCTAAACTTTATGATTTTACTTTTTAACGATATGTTTGTTACGGTGTGATTGTGTGTATAACTCAAATTCTTTACATTTCTGTAATGGTGTGTACGATCGCTCGTTTTTATTTTATTCTCATTGCAGTGCCTTTCTCTGCTTTGTTTAAAATTATTTGCTATGTATTGTAGCTTTCCGTCTTATACTTAACCCGCTTTCTTGTTTTCCTTCCATGACCTAGGGGCTATTCATGTCCGAACAGGTTTACGCCAGTGTTGACAGCTAGGGTAAGATCACTAGGTACATGATAACTTCATTTTATCATTAATTAATTAATTAGGTTCTTAATATATTTACAAGAATTTCATAACCTGTACATGTAGCAATTTATGCAAAATGTTCAGATATTACTATTTTATTGGTAAAAGTTTCTTCTGTATATTAGGTTATTCCGTTTCTTAAATTGAATGAAATCAGCAGTATTTAATCACATGGTTTGCTTTTCTTTGCCGGGGTTTGATTGTCAGCTTCATTTATGTGAGAAGAGTTATGTTGGTCACCAACTTCCTCTAAGTATGTTCTTTTAGGATTATCGCATTGATCTAAGTTAACTACGATAGCGTGCATTTGTCCATCTTGAGCTAAATCATCTACTTGCAAGGTCGATGTGCCTGGTGTATTTGGCAAACTGATATCTTTATCACTTTGCTGAGGAAGCAGTCCAATGATATCAAGATAAATATCATACTCCGGGGTGTCTTTCAACTCTGGTAGTTTTTTCATGGCAATATGTAGCGCTGTTTGTCCTCTGTAATCGGTAGCATTGTGTATGCCATGTCTCACTGAAATATCTGCAAGTTTCTTTACCACTCCACATTTTCTTTCTTCTAGTGCTAACATAAATGGAGTCTGTTTCTTAACGTCATCAACACAGTCTACCGGTATACTAAGCTCTTCTAGAATGTCAATTAAGTCTATGTCTTGGTGGAAGACAGCTATGTGGTAAAGTTTAATACGTTGCATGTTGTCAGTCAGGTTTACAGCGTAGTCGGCCTGCTGTCTGTTGTGCTGTAACAATAGTTTCACTACATCAGTTTTTCCCTCCACAGCCGCTTCATGAATAGGGCAAAATCCATTTAAGTTCCGTGAAAACATACGTGGTCTTCGCAGTAGCATTTGTTGTACAACTTCTTTTTGACCTTTTCTGCATGCTTTGTGCAATAAAGTGTCATGATTCAGGTCATCTTCAATTGTAGTATCTATTTCGTCTGCAGAGCAGTTCAAGCTGAGTATGCATGTCACGGCTTCTTCGTTATCATTCTCAAGAAACATCTGCAATAAACGTTTACCGTTCTTTGTATAACTGCTTATTTCCTTGTTACTTCTTTGTAACAGAAACGTGACGATTTCCCTATTAGCTACTTCAAGTGCAGCGAGAATAACATTTGGATCATCTACAGGAGCGCCCAGATTTGCCAAGAACTCTACCATTTCTTTATTACCATGTTTTACTGCGAGAAGTAACCCAATCAAAATATTGGTTTTCAAAATAGAGCAACCGTCATCAGATTGTCTGTCCGCAGTTTTCATTTCATTGTAACAGACAGAAAGAAAATCTTTGAATTCTGTCATAGAATGTTTCACCAAAAATGCAAACAAGCATATGTCAGCTTTACATATGCTTTTATCGAGGATCTTTTTGAAACCTTCAAATTCATCTTCAACTGTCGATACTGGTGTTGTCAGTATTTTTACAGCTTTCTCTTTCATTGTATCTTTCAAGAAAATTTCACAAAACAGCTTGCTACGGAAAACTGGATAGAGGAGTGGAAAACATTTCATATACTGGGGTTGAGACTCATTTTGATCTTCATTACATGTCAAATCAACCACAATCACGGGACAGACAGACTCCTCTTTAATCAGACCACCATTTATTTCCACAAGTATATCTCCAATTCGTGTGGAGAGAACATCAAACCTGGAACGCGGTATAAAAATTTCGAGGCCAGTACACTCCTCCTCCCTTTGGACAGCCATGCCACGTGTGTTGTCATCAATGCGGACAAACTTGGCAATGAATGATGAAGGACAGTACTTCAACACAGCCGTTCCGTTTCTTTCATAAGCAACAAGTCCAAAAACGTCGCTAATGATACTATGGCTAAAAGTAATAGTTTCTTTTACTTTGTCATAGTGTATAAAGTCTGAACTGTGAGACAAAAGTGATGCTCTAATAGTTCTTAGTTCTTTTTCAGGTCTGAACTGTAACTGTTGAATTGGATCTAATATTGATCTTGGAGTACATGATACTGTCTGCTCTAGCTTATTGCAATAAATTTTCTGTGGTTTTTGGGCCCAGAGAACAAAGAAAGCAAGGAAAACCTTTTCATCTCTTTTGAAAATCTCTTCAAGACATTGTTTAAGATGTGTAAATGGACTTTCAAAAAATGCATGTTCCTGTTTGAAAAGATCATCATGTTGACAAAATAGCCTAGCACACTCAGGAAAACCGACAGCAAATGGCGATGTTTTGCTTGCTGCAGTTATACAGTCTGTGACCTTTTCAGCAGAAAGTTTTCTGCCTTTCATGTCAATGTGCTTCTGAAGTATTTCTTTCTTTTCTGTGTCAGTCAAGTCTGTAGATGTCATTGTCAATGTATTACTGTCATTTATCAAGTGTGAAATATTCATTGATTCGAGGGCTTCTTTCATGATGTATGTACGACACGTAATAATGACCTTAAGACTTTTATCTCTTACATAATGACCAACCTGGGAAAAGATCGTCTGCCATTTTCTGCTATCACCCTTTTCAAATTTGTCTCCAAATAAATCATCAATCAATACAGTATCTACTATAGAAGTATTCAGAATATCCCAGTGTGAAGTTTTATTGACCTTCAAGCATTTATTTGGGTCTGTAACGAGTTTGATACCGTTTGTAGATTTTCCTGCTCCCAATGGACCGGTCAGTAATACTATCCCCTTTTCATTTAGTATTTTTCTGGCTTTTTTGAAAACATTTGTCTCAACAAAGAATCTATCATCTACGACATTAGACAATTCTCGCTTTGTGCGTTCTGTTTGAAATAAAGTTATGTTGCGGTTTATCATTCAATTAATATTTTTCATGATTCGAGTATATAATTCAATAATTCTCATGATATGAAGTTAATGATCCCTGATCTGTTTTACAGTTTTTACATTACTGCTCTTAAAAATATAAATTATTGATGTACTATAGTATACTCAAAGTTAAAATCGTTTTTCTAAAATAATCAACGATTCATCTGAGCGACTGAAAAAATCAACATGCAACTATTTTTCTTTCAAACATAAGATTTCGGAATGTCTAATTGATTAATTATTAATTATCATGAATTTTAAATTTTTCTCTTTATTTACTAGTATGTTTATCTCAGTGCTTTTTAAAACCAAAACCCGCCATCGTGTATGTAAATAATGAAAAAAATTATTTAGTTTAAATCATATAAAAGGTTAAAGTATGCTATATATCAATTTTAATTTCATTAGGTTTATCTTTCATTTATAGTTCTGGAATTTAAAATAATTAAGATTTTACTTACCTATTGCAAAAGCTGAAAATACATACATAAAAAGTAAGCTTAAAATCCATTATTATTGTTTATTCTATGAGAAAGGAAGTTAGAAACTATACAGTGTAACAAATTGAAACATTACTGTTTCCTAATCTAGTCTTCTAACCTACAAATATTTTACCTAGACTTACTAATGATAGTTTAATGACAATGGAATATGTGCCAGTATATTTTTTAAAGAAAGAGCAAAACGTGTACTAAAAGGTGCATATAAAATTGACTCTAAATAATTTTAATATTTTAAAGTAAAAACCTTCATACCCCATTGACTGTTACCCTCTATTTTCTTCATCATTTCTTCTCCAAATGACTTGTCAAGTTTATCCCATTCAACTAATTTTGTCAGCAATTGTTTCTCGTATTCTTTATCAAAGCATTCGAATCTCAATCTCTCTAATGTTTCTTTCAAGTCAGGCATGCCTTGCCCAAGACGCAGTAAAACCTAAATTCAAATGAGCCGCGTCACGACAAAACCAACATAGTAGGTTTGCGACCAGCATGGATCCAGACCAGCCTGCGCATCCGCGCAATCTGATCAGGATCTATGCTGTTCGCTTACAGACCCTATAACAAGTAGAGAAACTGATAGCAAACAGCATGGATCCTGATCAGACTGCCCGGATGCGCAGGCTGGTCTGGATCCATGCTTGTTGCAATCCCACTATGTTGGTTTTGTCGTGACGTGGCTCAAATAATACCTACTTAAAAAAAACTATGTTTTGAAGAAATGACCTTACTTGTATGTAACGAACAGCATTAAGTTCTTCCCATTTTAATAATATACTATGACATTTATTTGTTCAAGACTAGCAATATCTTCCTACTTTCCTACTTCAATTTTCCTGCCATATTATCATTAAAAATGTTGTCATATTTATTTGAATAATTTTTATCAAAATTTCTTTATGTTAAAAAAGTTATAATACCTGACAAACATCCTGCCATTTTGTGTCAAACTCTTTCTCGGTTAATTCAGGTATGGGTTGATGCAAAAACTTAAAAGAAAACGCAAATATGTATAAAAATGTATCGGACTATCCGTTACATTGTTACAAATGTTCTCTTTCAAGATCATTGATTCAAATATCTTTAATTATAACAAATGAATGCTACTTAAAATGAATCAAAGTGAAAACATTTAGGGTGGCTAAAAACGGCATAACTGTAAATGATTCATACATGCTAATGTTGATTTATTTAGAATTATTTTAAAACATCCAACGATATATGTTTATAAACGACAGTTATCAAGATTCTTCAATGTGACAGTGTCATTCTAATTAACAGCCGCGTAAAGCTAAGCTAATATTTGTGAGTTAATGGAATTACTGCTCGTCTATTGAAATAAATACAAAAAATGTTTAACCGTGAACCTAGTTTTTATTTTAATTATTAATTAACATGATATGAAAGTGACTATAAAATGAAAATGTCTGTAAATTCTATTGCATAAGGTATGTCCCTACCTCATTTCTTGAATCTCTTAAACGGACAATGTCTGCCTCAACAGAATGGTCGTTTTGATGCGGTGTATTACCAAATCTCCATACAGGATCGTTCTCCTTCTTTGAGCACAAACATGTCCGGTGTAGTGCAACTAAAAGTGTAATATCATAATCTGCTGACGATGATGAACCAGACGGAGGATACAACAAGATGAATTGTGTTTTTGTTAATGCATTTTTAGACAGGGCCCCAAGCAGGTTGGGCTTTTCTTCAGTAAGAAATGCTTTCCGGTGTGATGTACCTTTGTCAAATGTGTATTTTAAGACTAATGTACCTCCATCGACTATAAGACGAAGAATTTTCCAACTTCTTGTCTTGCCTACTGTCAGAACAAGGTTTTCAGCTGCCATTGTTTAACGGTAGCACTGCAAAAAAATTTTAAAATAATTTTGAAAATCACCAAAAAGAAAAAACAAGAGGGCCATGATGGCCCTATATCGCTCACCTTAAAGAATAGATCTTAACTGGATTTTTCTTATTTAAAACAAGCAACATGTTTATAAAATACTTTAATGTTATTTAGTTCGTGTCAAATGTAAAGAATGTTTGGCCAACAGCAACAGGAATGCAATCAAGTGTATAGAAATACCTCTTTTTTCTTTTCTTTAAAGTATAGGTTGCTAAAAATACACTCCCTGTAGTGTGTTGACATCATGAAAATTTTAACAATGACATCATAATTAACAAGGCAAAGTACAAATTTGGATACTACTTCAATAAAAATGGATCAACGACAAAAATGGCCGGGTTGCATTTGTATACCAAATAACATGACTCATGAGGCTGTGATGTTACAAAAATGTACAACCATTGACCATTAATGTCGAACATTTAACTAAGTCGGTAAACATGAAGTGGATAGGCGATAGACCTGAACTTGGGACCACATATTAATGCAGTCACATTACGAAAATATCAAGAGGCTGTGTTATGTAGATGCTGAGAAAACTGTTACGGAAATTTCCTTCCATTTACAATTAATGCCGAAAATTTAACTAAGTCATCAAACGGGAAGTGGATGAGCCACATACCTGAAATCATATCCCATATATCCCATTGTATGTGACTACATGTTGATGCTGTATACCAAATATCAAGAGGCTGTGATAAGTAGTTGCTGAGAAAATTGTTACGAAAAATTCCTACCATTGACCATTATTATGAATTTAACTAAGTCAGTAAACATGAAGTGGATAAGTGACAGACCTGAAATCGAATCCCATGGTATGGGCCAATGTGTTAATGCTGTATACTAAATATTATGAGGTTCTGTAGAGTAGTTGCTGAGAAAACTGTTACCAAAAATGGCCCAACCAATTCCCTGCCTGCCCGGAATCAAGTCTCAATACATGATGGTAAACAGTATTTTTTTGGCATATGATTATGTAAATTTTTTCGAAAACCAGTATTATAGTTGTACCAGATATCCCATTAGTGTTTAAATATTAAAATATTTTTGATAAAAGTGTTTACTCAGGGGTATCATGTTGGGGACAGGATCTAACCCCCAAGCATCTGTGGTTTATCATATTAGAACACCCCTTACTACAAAAACTTCTTCCTGTTCACATGAGTGGCTCTATACACAGGTTTAATCATAAAATTAAATCATGTAAAATGTTATTTAAAAAAAACAGCAGGGATCTCAGGAAGGTCAGTATTTCACGTGGCAGACTGTTTGGCCAAAAATTTTCATGAGTCAAATCAGTTTTTTCTTGTGTTATTTTTCTACACGAATCATTTTCATGTTTTCAGAAATTACTGTTTGGGAAGTCATTTTTCAAGTTTAAATTGATAACTATAGTAAGGTTAGGCAGTTATAAGTTTCTTGCTTAGTTAACATGATAAAGATAATTAAGTATTTCAAGCACCATGGATAATTACCATAATTATTGTTCCATTTTCACTTACATTTATTGAGGTGATTAACACATGTGTACATGCAGGGGTAAAAGTTACAGAAACTGAAAATACTGAAAGAAACAGTTTGGGGCCAGGGGGCCGCTAGGGACCCCGGTGGGTCCAGGGCAACGCCCTGGCTAGGGGTCTAGGGGGCTGGAGGCCCTCGGAAGCTTTTGCAATTCAGTGAATTTAAAAGCTCAAAAAAAGGCTCAGATACATACTCAAGTGCTTTATTTATCTTCAGATGCAAGTAATCTGATATGTTAAAATGTACACAAATTCTAAATAAATACTATTTAAGCAATTTATACACATTCCACATAACAAATTATGTTCATTCTTTTTACTTTTTTCAATTTCATATCTTAAATTAGATCCTTTTCCATTCTTCCACTTGTTGATGCAGCACACTCTCAACTGACTTGACAATTTCTTCAGATGTGAAAACATTTTGAATTCTCAATCCTAAATGATCCATTACTACTTGACTAGTTTCATCATCAAAGTACTGAAAGATAATATTCAGTACTTTGTTATTGTTTTTTGTTAGTTGCCTTATCCATATTCAAAGATATTAACTTATCTTTCACTTTTGACTTCACTCCATCCTTAACAGATTTGGCTACACCATGTGTTGTTACGTACATTGCACTGGTTGGAGAAAGAGTAGTTTTTTCAAGAGCAGGCTTGTCTTCAGCTAAACGTTTGGCAAGATGTTAGAGATCGCCTGCTATGGAAAATGGCAGACAATGTTCACTAAGAAAGGCAGTTGTGATTGCTCTTTGTTTGGCAATGCGGTCTTCCATACTTTCAATCTTTTTGTCCACAGCTTTTGATGAGCCTGGCAGTACCTGAAAAAGACAATTTTCAAATAAAAGATGTATGAAAACATATTAAATAAAATATGACACTCATAAATTGTCAATTTAGTTTGGAAACAAGGAGTTAATCAAACTAAAAAAACATAGATTAAGAAAATCGTGTTCTAATCCTTAAAATAATATTCAACTGGAAACAAAATCTATTATTTAGGTGGTGAAAAAATTAAAAGTCCAGACCTATTAAAAATTTGGGCATAGGTTCCCCTGCACAAGGCGATTTTTTAATTCAACCCCCAACCCTTGCCCAGACCACATGAAAGTTGGGGGAAGACAGAAGAAAAAGAGGGTGGGGTAATGTGCATTGTTTATTATTAACTACACAATGCACAACTAAACCTCTATTCGTTGCTAACTCTAGATAGTGGCTAAACTACACAGAGAAATGATCTTACTTGGTCTAAGATTCTTTTAGTGGTCCTCATCTTCAGCTCATCGTGATTAAGAAGCACCTTTTTTCTGTTCGATTTGTCTAGTTGATCGTTTTGGAACAGACTTCACAAAAGCCCATTGCATTTGGTTTCTTCAACCAAGCATCCCATTTTTCACCTTTAGATTCCTTTTCCGCTAACCACTCCCACCTCCATTTGTTTTTTGCACCCTTTTTCAGATCGTTAGTATTAAAACCAGTTGTCATTGTATTTGTACATGCATTTTGACATCAAATGACTATGCAACAAACGATTTCATTGGCTGGTAAAAATAACGACGACCAATCAAATCCGACCTTGTATAAACTAGCTCAATTTTTCATCGGCAATCTCCGTATTGTAATTGTTTTGATTCGTATATTTCCCATTTTGTGCAAACGGGTCTGAGATGGACAAATTTATTCAAAAATATATATCAAGCATTATCAAGCAATGTGCACACGCTAATTAATGAGGCATGCACACAAACCCTTCCCGATTTCTCATCGGATTTACGTCATTCAGAAAAATGACCTCGGAGATCGCCGAAAATACGAATTCCGTCATGTATAATTTTAGAAATGATATCAAGGGAGGTGATTTTTACATAAATACTAAATGTAATCCCTTAATACTTCACAAATAGTTAGGCTAATAAAATACCTGTTTCAACGAAGCACACGATAATTGTATTTCATTTTCACTTCTTTGTTTTGAAATACGAGTTTATGTTACAAAATTTCTCAATTTCCTTGTTCAAGGCCGCCATTTTGTCCTACTTCCGGTTTACTTTAGTTTATAGGTCAGACTGATACAGATGTTTTCTAAGACTCAGGACTGATTGATATGCATTATTTAATGATTTGAATTGAATGTTTATGATCAGAATGAAATATCATGACATAATTCGTTCAGCAGATTCAGTAAGACCGGTGTACACAATGTTGAAATATATTTTTCCCGCAAACCGGAAAGAAGAATTTAAGTAATATCCGTACTGTAAATTAAACTTTTATCTTAATCAGCTATTTTTTGTGAAAAGTATACAACATTTTTTTTGTTCACTTTCGTTTCTTTGTGCAATATCTTACACAATAAAATGTGCAAGTCAATGTCAAGAACCAAATTTGAAAATATATTGCATTTTATTTCGGAAATGACACAGCTAGTCTCCTTTCTGATGATGTTACGAAATTAAAGGAAGAATCCATTATTGAATGGGGAAATCAACTTCACTGTAGCTCTGAAATTAAGGCTATTCTGATTGACTTTGTTTTGAATTAACATTCACATTCAACAACATTTTCATCTTTCTAATGCTTTAACAGAAAAAATCCTCAAAACAATGTCTGTTGAGACAAAAAATACAAAATACACTTTCTCAATTTATCCCTACAAAGACAGTCTATACAATCTTGCAATTAAAAAACCCTTTAACCCGATTTGCAGTTATTTATTTATAACTGCAAATCGGCTTTAACTCGGCAGTAATTAGTGTAGCCGCTTTTTTCATGAAGAAACCAGTGAAAATTGTGATTGGCATATTATAATTAGCCTGGTCAGGTGTTTCTAAAAAGGCTGATAACACTGTAGCAAAGCCAGGATACATTCAAATTTATTACATAGATAATAAACGTGGAGCTCAGCTCGCAGAGACAAATGAGTACACAGTAACTTTTTGATATCCTTTTAACTCTAAGAAAAATATCAATTATTAACTGCTGACTGTTTATATTTTCTAGAAAAAGTAAGCAAAACATTATTTTGTTTCATATGACAGGAATGAATTGCATTAACAATCCTAGGTATTGTTGAAAAAAATAAGTAATTGGGCCCCATCTTTGTTTGTACGTGACTGCTGGGGAAAAATAATGTTATGCTTAATTAAAGAGGTGACACTTTCTATATTTTTATCTGATATTGAGTTGTAAGAGCCGATTTGCAGTTATATGGGTAAGAGTTCGATAAGACTCCATACGGTCGTCTTAATACGAACTCTTACCCATACATATTTTGATTTTATATCCAGTATTAACTGGGTCTTTATTTGTTTCATCATCTCATCGCATTATCGTATTTAACTTAAAAAGAGGCATTTGAAGAAGAGTTGTATATACATCTATATAGTTTAAACTTTAAATTATTTCTGATTAAAACAATAAGATACATTACAGA